TATATATATATATATTGAATCGTTGAAACCAATTGAAGGTATTTTTTTTTTTGAACAAACAGTTGGAGCTAGCTAAATCATTGACATTTTTTAATATAAAAAATCAATTTACTCCAATTAAATGTGTTATCTTTACAAATATTATTTTTTTTCACGTGCAACTTTTTCCTTGCTTATAGAAAATTATGAAAGGATAAAAGGGAAAATAAAAATGAATATACACAATTTTCTAAAATTTTAAATTATTACTTTTATTTGTTGTGATAAAGAAAAGGATAGAGTGGTATCAATATGGCCATAACTAATAACAATTCAGATTTACTTAATCGTTTCCCCCCTACTTTTCTGCCGAATTTTGTTTCGATCACATTAATATATTTCATTGATCTAAAATTCTTGTGATCTTATTTCCAGTGTTCTACCAAGAAATTTTGAATTGACTTTGTTTTCTAAGTCTATTTTTTTGACCATTTTCATTTTCATTTCTTCAAATACTATATATATATATATATATATATATCTTCAGGGCTCAAAGTATTAATTGTCCCTTAATTTTATTTTACTTTTTGTGGTTAGCTGGAATCTATTTGTTTCTTTTTTATCAATGTTGTAGGAATTGTTTTTTCCCCTTAATTAATTAATTAATTTTTATTTAAGCTCTTTACCTTAATTTTTAGGCCTCTTCTTCTATTCTATTTTATCTTATTTTAATCATTATAATTTATTTTAATTTTTAATTATTTTAAAACTATTTTATCCAACTAATAATTTTAATTTTTATTAATCATATACAGAAATTTTTTTGAGCATTGCAATTTATTAATTTTAATTAGCACAAAAAATGGAAGTAATTTTTGAAAATTAATGATAAAATTATAAGAAAATAATATTAATTGTTGAAAATGGAACATAAGATTAAATTGAAACAAAATAAAGCTGAGAGTAAAAAATAAAATTTTAAAAATATAAAAGGATTAACATATTAAACATAAAGTTAAGGGACGAAGTGAGATCAAATATCACGTTAAAAAATGAATGAGATTAAAGAACGGAAATACTTTCTAACGTGTTGGCATGCCTTAAAAATATACTCATTTAATAGAACCAATAATTTTTGGGTAAAGAGAAAAAAATACCCACAAAGTGATTAGGCAGAGGGCATCCAATATCTTAAGGTAAGGAAAAGAGCAAAAACACCTATAGCGTTACACGAGTGGGTGTAAAAGTTATCAAACAGTTAAGTTTGATATAACATAATTAATTTTGACCATTAAATATTGATTGTGCATGCCACGTGTCAAACTTTACTTATATGAACTAATAAAAGGGCAAAAATATTCAAAAAGTTATCAGTTAGGAGCAAAAATATTCATAACGTCATCATAGTTGGTGCAAAAGTGATCAATCTATTAAATCCTTTAAATTATTAACTGTTTAGTTGACATTTAAATAGAAGTTGATCATTTTTCATTGACATGGACTAAAAAAATTCCAATATGAAATTTTTTGGAGGTTAATCGATCATTGTTTGAATTTCACGTCAAAAAATATTGCTTTGACTAAATATCAAATGAAATTACTTATTTTTTTTACAACAATGGTGAAAACTATTTAAAAATTTTGAATCTATCATGAATGAAATTGTTTAAAATTGTGACAAAATTCTTAAGGTAGGGCTGCATAGTAGGTGTGCTCATTCTTGATCTTTGATTATGTACAATCTATTTCACTATATTGAATCTCAAATTCTCAAATTTTACAGACAAGAAAAATAAGTAAAAAAGAAAGAAGGAAGGGGGCAAGATACGTGGTGATGGAAAGAAACTGTGCGGCATGAATTTTGATAGATTGATCACATTGCACCTATTAAAGTAACATTATAGATACTTATACGATGATCGATTAACATCTATAAAAATTCATCTGGGAATATTTTTTGTCTACATTAGTGAAAAAATAGTTAATTTTTGCCTATGTGTCAACTAAACGGTCAACATTCAAGAAAATTGATGGATTTGTCACATTTATACCAACTTTAGTAATATTATAGGTATTTTTGCTCCTGGTTGATAACTGTATAGGTATTTTTGTCTGTTTATTAGTTTACGTTAGCAAAGACTAACAAGTGATATGCACAATCAGTATTTAACTGTCAAAGTTAAAAAGATGTTAGGTCAAACGTCGTGGTTTAGTCACTTTTGCATCCACTCATGTAACGTTATGGGTATTTTTGCCCTTTTCCTCACTTTAAGATATGGGTGTCCCTAGTTGATGACCACTTTGTGAGTATTTTTATCCTTTTATCCATATGTTTTTCCCTAAACACAAAGAATCATCCTTAATTTTCTTTTGGCAAAAAAATATCCTTACTTTTTTTAATTTTTTATGACACTTAATTTTATAAAATTAAGAAGCATTGCTTGAGCATAAACTTTTTGTTTTTTTTTTCCAATAATTGATCGGCCATTAAAATCATCTCTAACTTTTTGGATAAGGAAGTGTTTTTTCGGCCAAGTTGGATGAGGAAGTTGAAAAGTGATTGCTTTGCTAAGTCATGGTGACATACACACATACGCACATATATACATACATACATGTTATGTATATATGTATGGAATCGTTGGACATATAGAGAATATTACTTTATGATTTAAGAATATAAAGTTCCATATTTGAATGACATAAATATGAAGAAAGTGAGTGGAGGAAGATTGCGCCCAAAACAGTGTCTTGGAAACTATCCACATTTGTCATTTAGCGGGAAAAAAAGTACTCTTTCGTCTTAAATTATAAGATATTTTTAGATAAAATTTTACATACCAATAAATTTTATTAAATATACTTAACAACCTTTTCTTTCTAAAATAAAAAGATAAACTTTTCAAAATATTCATCATTTAATATATTAAAAAGAGAAGTGATGAAAGTTAATTATAGAGAGAGAAAGGGTAATATTAAAATTGATAAATTTAATGAAACCTTAATTTACTCAAAATATTTTATATTTTGAAATAAAAAAACTCCTTTAAAAGTGTCCTATAATTTGAAACGGAAGGAGTATATATTATCTCTTAAACTTGTCACTCTCACAAAGCAAAGAAGCATTTATTAATTTATAACCACACACACCCACTGACATATTTTATTGGCTGATCCGTGTTTGTTTTTGCTTGGAAAAGGAAATTAAACCTAAAAATTCCTAACCCTAAAAGAAAAGTTTGATTAAAGTGGTGTGAAACGAAGAAAAGAATACATTTTCAACCTAATTATTATTTCGTTTCTTGCATGCTTCTTTTAATTTTAGGGTTAGGGTTAGGGTTTACGTGCATGGAAGTGGGACCTTGTTTTTTTGTGATATTTATTTTGATTATAGGGAAAATCAAAGTGTCATCGACATCAAAGAAATCAACGTGGATGATGATGATTAGGGTTCCGACATTTGCCCTAGAAATATAGCAATGGAATTTCTTTTCTTTGGTTAAAAAGCATGATACGTTACTACGTTAATTACTCCAATTTTAAATCAGTTGATTGATTCAAATAGAATGTCACATCTCTTAATTACATATATCTGCATTTGCCAAATACAAATCATTTATATCACCAACACTTTGATGTTGATATCATTAATTAGGAAAACTTGACTAAAAAGTGAAAATGAGTTTTACAATATTGAATCCGATTGGGAGGATGATGAGGAGGTATTAATTAATAATTTAACACATTGGTTTAAAATTATAAGGCATTTTGTGAGAGATGACATATTTAAAAATATAATTCATTTTGGTGTCATTTGGAAGTAATTAATTAATGGGGGTTTTTCAAAAATGCTCTCAATCAATATTTGAAATCAGATGACGTATTTTTATATCTATTTGTGATTAAATTATCATATTGATGGTGGAATGAGTAAGTGGTTTTTAATGATGCTGATTGTTTTCTTAGAGGTGGAAGTTAGTTAAAAATACATTATAATTTTGAACAGAAGAAGTAATTTATAAATCAGCTTATCTATAATCTATAAGTTTCATCAAATCGCACAAGCACAAGCCACATGAGTAAACCTATGGATAGACATGGAATGACATACATTATAGTGTTCATTAATGGCCAGGTAAAAAAATAATATGGGTAAAATATTTTTCACAACATAAAGAATGAAAATTTATGAAATTGTACTGCTTCTCCAAAACCAATAATTTAGGTCAAGTTAGACAAGCTAATCCAAATAAATCCAAAAGATTTTAATTTTTTTTATAGTTAATCCTTTGATTCGTAACTTATTTTATACCGAGAGACCAACTATTTTCTTAAAATATTTTTTAGCCAACAAAAAATTTAAAATATTAATACTGTTATATTTTTATTATTTTTAATCTATAAAATATCTTAAAATAATATTAAAGTAAATTATGATGTTGATTTTTAAAATTTAAGACCTACGGATTTTTTTAAAAATTTGATATTCGTTAAGTATTTCAAAATACATATATTTTAAATTTTTTATAATAATAAAAATAAATAATTTAAAGTAAAATTTGAAATATGTTTTAAAAAAATGAAAAAAATTGACAATTCAAGTATTTAAGTCCGCTCAAAATCTTAAAGTATTAGGGTTAAGCTTGATTATTTGTGTTTTATATATCTGTGTGTGTGTATATATATATATATATATATAAGTTCGAACTTATTCAGAGGCAAGCCTCTCCCTAATGAGTCTAAGCTTATCCCAATTATCGGCTCTCTGATCCCTCTCCAAGAAAAAGTCACTTAAACTATTTAATTTCCGCACAATGGGGACAAATCTTGTATGTGGATTTATCTTAGTGATGAGTTAAGCACATGATGGAGAGTGGAAAAGTGGGCCCTCAGCTCTGCATGAATGAATTTTGATAGAAGATGGAAGAAAGTGAAAAGAGGCGCCCAAGGCAATGAGATTGGATTTTGTATGGCGCTTGAAAAATTTGAGGGTAAGTGTAGTAAGGAACACGGCAGCACAACTACAGGTACGTGGGTCCAAAAGTAGGCACCGTCTTTTATTGACGTTATTCTCTCTCTTGATTGGAATTCAAGAAACCCAAACTTTGTTTATTATTTTGTTTTCTTCCATATTCACTAACTTTGACTATTTATATCAATCATATGCTTGCATGAAACTTCCTTCTTGGCCGCTTTTTTTTTTTTTTAACATAGTATATATAGTAAATAAATTATGTGCGTTTGTGGCTCTTTATTCGAGACGGTCGTCTTTCACAACACAACTATTATGCAAACACATTGAAAGTTGCATGTGATGTGTCTTCGATACTTTTTCCCACATGGGGTTTTAATCAAAACGTGGCGTATGTAATAAAAAAAAAATATATGACCATAGAAATATAATATTAGGATTTGAATTCATTCACTCTTAAATATTCTCACCCAATGAATATCCCATATTATGGAAATTGTCGCTTTTTATGCAACTATATTCATAAAATTGTCATTTAACATTGTTTCATTTATTTTTTATTAATTATGAATTTTTAAATGTTGATGAAATCCTACAATTATAGTGTGAAACTCATGGGAGAGTAAGAAGACACTTAGATACAAATATATAGTGTCACTACTGTTAGCCAGACAAATAGTACGGTTAGGTTGTTTAAATTTCAATTCAACTTGAATCATTATGTTTAGCTTGACATAAATAGAATTTACATGTTCAATTTATTAATCATATATATAATTAATTAAAGATAATAATCCATGATTGATATATATATATATATATATATATTATGTTTGACTATTAGTTAAATTTTTTATTTGCACTAAACACATCAATTATTGATGCAAATTAAAGAATCTTCATGTACACACATATATATTATATTGCTTTTTTCCTTTTCAATTCCATTCTTTCGACTCGTTTTTCTTTTTTATTCTTCAGTTACGTATGAAGAATATAGAACCGCAAGTCATCATCAAGATAAATTATATCTGAATTTTAATATACATTCAATTTTCAATTACTTAATCAATATATATTTTGTTGTTTTGAATAAAATATCTATTATGCATACTTTTCTTCTTTCAAGAAAAGAAAAATTATTCATTCTCTAAATTATTAGTTCAGACGTTTGAATGCATTTGTTTTTAAAGAGCAATAATGAATGATTCCTTATTATGGAATGCTTTTGATTTATTCTCTCTTTGTTCATACTTCCTCCCCTTCTATATAAATTTAGTGGTTTTAAATATAAATCACTAGTTTAATTTATACATTATTTGTCTTTATTTCAAATATTCATTTCTTCTCCATTCCAATAAGAAGATAAACAACGCGTTGTTTTTTTTTTAAATTTATAGTATTTATTAGGGATGAAAATAAAAATCAAAGCAATTTTTAGACAATTTTAATAATGTAACTAACTTTTCTTGGTTCTTTAGTAACACATGACTTATAATAATGATTAGAAGGAGTATATTTTTGTAGTTCTACTTATAAGTTATTTCCAATTTGTTTCAATGGAATCAAAAAATTTTAAAACTCATTAATTCTATATAAAAATTTAATACATTTTTAACTTTACCTCTATTAAATATACATCACTTAATAATATACTTTCTCTCACTAACATTTAATAGAAGGTAAATAAAAGGAAAAATTATAATAAAAAATTAATAATGTGATTTATAAATGAGATAGAAATAAATCTTCTCTCTTCATTTTATAGATAAGACCAAAGGGAGTATTATTATTATTACTATTATTATTATTATTATTAGCTAAAGTAATTGGAATGTTTTTAGATCAGACCAACGAAAATGCTAAGTAAAAGAAAAAGAAAAAGAAAACTAAAAGGAAAAAGGATACAAAGTTTGAGAATCTATGAAAGTTTGTCTTACAATCTCTCTCTCTAAATTCTCAAAAGTCTAAGGCCTGAGACTTTTTGAAAACATTCTGTGGTTGCTAGTTGCTGGACAGCATTCACATTGAACCAAGACACAACAAGTCTCTCTTGTTTATATTTATATTTATATATATATATCTGTGGCTTTCAGAGTTTCTCAGGTTGCTGCCCTTGTACCAAGCATTCTCAAGGTTCTGCAGAAATGAATAACAATTCCCAGAGAACCACCACCGTTCGACAGTACCACAAATCCGAGCTTCCCCGCCTCCGGTGGACGCCGGAACTCCATCAACGCTTTGTTGAAGCTGTTGAAACTCTCGGTGGCAAAGACAGTAAGTTCATCAATTTCTCCAATTAAAACTAGGGTTTTCAAATCAACATGAAATTAGAGCTACAGAAAAACCTCACTGTTCATAGATGGTGAGGATATGTTTATATAGAGTGCTATGATCAACCTCAAGAATCATGTTATATCCAAAAATATATTCTACAAACTGAGAAGTAAGTTGATATTATTAGCTTCTATATTCTGATAGATATAATTAATTTTTAGTTCTTTTTTTTTCATTTTTCATTTGGGGAAATAATGGTACCTGTTCATCCTTTGAACTTTGTTTTGTTCTGATTCAATGATTCAGATATTCTAGTCAAATTAATTAAAGATCCACATGATTAGAGTCTAATCATTTTAATTATCTCCTTCACCTGTTTTGTTTCTTTCTCCTTTCTAGCTAGTTCTTCTCTCACATCCAATCTAATTCAGACCTAAAAAATAGTTGGAAAGAAGACGAAATTAAGATTGCCAGAACCATTATAATTTGAAAATATTATTGCCTAATTATCTTATTATATTAAAATTACACAAATGATTGGATTAATCAATCTATCTATAAATCTAATTCCTTGCTAGACGGCAGGACCACTTGAGAAATCCATCTATATGATCCGTGAAGAAAAAGTTTGCAACAAATTAATTATGAGTTAATTAATCAATTATTAATTAAATGATTCATTAATATTTCTAACAATTTGTTAAACTAATAATAATTTGGTTTTGCAGAGGCAACACCGAAGCGTATTTTGCAGATGATGCGTGTGAAAGGATTGAGAATCTCGCACGTTAAAAGCCATCTTCAGGTGCGTCCATACGCATACGAAATATAATGATTATTAATATTAGCACATTAATTCTTGTTTAATTTTCTGGGCCGTTTCTTTTCTTGAAAAAGTAAAAGGAAAAAAAAATTGCAGCTTGAGATTTAGAGGACAAAGAAGATCTGAAGATTTTATAGTATGCGATGCATGCTTTATTATGAGATATGAGATCAAACAGCACTGGTTTCTAGATATTCTAATTTTCTTTCTTTTAAGGAATACTATTTGGAAAAGGCGTTTTTATTAACCTCACATGATAACTTCCTTAAATACATTAAAAGCACAGGATAGTACACACCCTATAATCCTAGCTAGTAAAGTAAATATATCATTTATGGGTTTGGAGTTTGGATTTTTAATCACAGCATCTTTAAATATTATAAGTTATTTTTAATTGAATTATATTTTTTTTAATGAGCTAGTCAATTGTCTTTAAAATTATATATTGTTTTCATGTCATCCCTTATTTAATAGGATATAATCTCAATTAAAAAATTTAAAGGGTATTTAATAATTGCATATTAAAAGATTTAAGATGGCTTATACTTTTAACATGTAGATATACTTTGAAAAAAGGCCTTACAATATTAAATAGAGGGAGTATATAGTAAGAGACTCAATGTCCCAAATCTTGACTTAGAATTTGCATGTAAAAAAAAAATGTTGAGGTAATTTTTTAGGGAGATGGACATTAAAGTATTAAACGATCAACTTAATGACAATTAGTTTTTGGAAAATTATTTTAAATGAGTTGTAAATATTGATTTAGGTAAACTGAAAGTTACATGTAAAATTTAAATATCTTATTTGTAATTATAATTCTTAAATTTATAATTATTTAAATTGATATTTATAATGTTTTTGAGAAATTTTATTGAAAACCTAATTATTATTAATTTATTCTTTTGATACTTAACTGTTATTCTTTTCTTATCCCAATTGGGGTCTTAAATGGACTTGCAACCAAACCAATCCAAAAAAAAAGCCTTATTTTGGACATTGAGGGGTAATTGTAGAGATCTGCTCAAGGACATGATATATAGTTATTTTGATAGATTGTGATTATTTGCATATATATGTGTGTGTATCATTAGGTCACCCAAAATTTCTTGAAAAGTTAAAAAAAAAATCTTCCTTTAGATAATTAAAATATAAACCATTATAACTTACTACGTTCATAGATAGATGCCTTTTGATGAAATTTTGAATCATCAAAACACGTGATCTTATCCCTTCGGGCAATCACATCAAAATTTAATTTCTGCTAAAGAAACCATTAGGTATAAAACAAACAAACGACTATTATTATGATAATAATACTTTGTTCTCATTCAGTATGGAAATTAATGATATAAAACATGTGTGAGTAATGTATGCTACGTATATCTCCCTCATGAAAAGAATCAAAGAATGATTTATTTTTAATTATATATTAATGTTCATTATGTAAATGTGTGCCGTGAGCATGCATCGCATAATGCAACATGTATAATTAATATGAATTAATCATATTATAATTTAGTGAGTTAGGTATAATCGCTCTATGAAAAAAGAAAAGAAAAGAAAAGAAAAGCTTTCAAGATAAGAACTTGTTTACTTTTTTCCTCTACTCACTCTGGGCAAGAGTATGTCATCATTCTTCCTACTACTACTTCTATTTTTATAAATATATCCAAACAAGCACTGGAGACAAATTTTATATTTATTTATTATTAGGTTTATGTATTGTGTACACCAGAATTATACATGTGTGTGTGTGTATTATAATATTATATATCCAGCATGGTTGCTCAACAAGAGAAGAATAGAGTTTCTATACGAATTTGTGCATCCACACCTAAACAAATGATACTTTACCACTTCTAATGATAAATCTCGACTGTGTATATATAAGATTTGTGTGTATGGAAAATACTCATAAACTAATATCTTAAGGTTTTGGATAAAGATTGATAATGTCAAGCTCATGATTAATATCCCATTGTCTAGTGAAATTCCCTAATACGTATTTTATTTATTTAGTGTTGGCCAAGATTCCAATAAATATATCTACTAATTTCATTTGCATTTTTGAAGGCATATTGTTATCATCATATACATGCTATAATTCTCTCCCTCTAATTCATCTTCTTGATCAATGCAAAATAAAGTGATTCATGGCATGCATGAGCATGGCTATATATATATATATATATGAAATAAAACATGTTAATTGGCAAGATCTTGAGTTAATTATAGAGAGATTGTGTGTTATGATTGTAGATGTACAGAAACATGAAGAGGCAATATTCTATAGTTCATCATCATCAATCACATGAAGGAAAAGCTCGTGCTCATGATCTCCATATCTGCTCCATTTCCTTGCCCCAAAGGTACAATCATGATCGATTTCTTGCTACTCTCCTTTAATTTAACCATTTATAATTATTATATTTATAAATCAGCTTCAGAGTTTACATCTTAAATTAATTAGTACTCCTACTGAATCATATCATAAGTCATTGTTAATTAATTTATTTTTTAAAAAAATTTCATTAAAATCTTGAATTTTTTTTTAAAAAAAACTCATATTTCCAATCTGAGTAGGATAAATGCAATAGTTGACTTATTTAAGATATCATCATTAATTACTTAAGTGGAATATATATGATTAGAAAAAATATACTCCCCCTGATCCAAAATATAAACATTTTTTCTAATTAATTTTGATTCAAAATATAAGCAACCTAGTACATGTAATTTTTCTTTTCAATTTTTTCCTTTGTATTTATTAACCTAGATCTTTGCGTAAATTAATCTCTCCACATCCTGAAATGTATTAGTAATTGAGACTAAAAGTAAAAAGAAAAAAATATATTTTCATAAGAACAAGGAATCCAGTGATTTGTGAATTTTCTTAAAAACTAATTATACTTTGGATCGTAGGAAGTATACAACATACCCAATGTCTTATATTTTAAACCAATAGCAGGGCTTTTAAAAATATCTGAGTACATCATTATATTCTTGCCAACTGCCATGGTTACTTTTCCAGAAAATTTAGTTTATATATCATGATGACACACATAATAAATTAAAGCATATCTAATGTGCATAAGTATGACTGAATCAAGATTTCTCATTTCTTGAATCATTTTTGTGTGTTTGTCTTCCTTCAAATTATATGTATTAGTGTAATATATATAGCTATTGGAAGTTGGTATAAATTAAAAAGATGTGTTAAGTAATTAGAGTCATACTATACTATTTACACAATCATGAATAATTAATATGACAGATACATATACATATACATATATATTTCACCATGCCTATACATATGTATGTGTTCAGATCGCCAAGAGCAAATGTCTTAGCATCAACATATGAACTGCATCAATTACATATGAAAGGGCTTTCACATAGTAGTGAAGAAATTCATTATGATCTCAATCAGGTATCTCTCTCTCTAGATCTCTCTCTCTCTCTCTCTATATCGAAACTTATTATGCACTTAGCTTTATTTTATACTTAAGGTACTTGCTTTTAAATAAATAACACATGTGAATTTTTTCATAGAATATTTATTCTATAACAATTTTTTTATTAATATTATTAATATATTAAAATTTATTTGTTTTGATTTGAATAGATAAAAGTACATTGAATATATCTAAATATCTAAATCTTAAACACCCCCCCAACTAACACACAGTTGTGCACCTATGCATTGCTCTTTTTTCTTTTTTTTTCCTTTTTGAGAGGTTTAATAGATGAGTCAGGTTTGGCAAATAGGCTTGTTTAGGCTTGGTTTTGGTACCCATCACAATGACGAGCATTATTAATTAGACTGTTCAAATCTAAATTGAATGATCCAATAATTAAAGATTTTCAATTAGCTATTCTTTTCATTAAAAGTTTATATTTTTGATAGACTATCTTTATTTTAAATTATGCATATGTTAAAATAAAAAATTTATTAAAATATAAAAATAAAATAATATTAAATCTATACCGTCAGCTTTAAATTTTGATGATCCGATTTGGTGCTCATCACCAGTTCCTTTTAAACTGTACTAAACTTTGTTAAGGGCATGTTACTCTTTTAAGTTCAATAAAATAAAATATAAGGAATCCTAGCCAAATAATATTTCATTTCTCCAAAAACCTCTTGAATGTTCTTATTCTTTTTTCATTTACAGGATCCTTATACAACGACAAGTACAGAAAATAGCGTGACAGCTCCACTTGGTGACCTCTCACTCTCTTTTGATCACACACATTTGTTTCCAGTGATCAATATCATGCACAGTGTGCAAGATGAAGAAGAAGAAGAAGACGAAGACGACGAAGACGAAGACGAAGACGAAGACGAGGATCAAGTAGTTCATGACTCTACTAGTTCAACACAGTCTCTCGGAGGGAATTACATAAACTTAGACCTAACTATTTGAATCTCTAGAATAATGTGATCTTATGTTAACTTAATTACCCACAATAAATTAGTTAGTTATCATCATTCTACCCATTATCTGTTTGCATTTAATTTAATTATAAAGAAAAGAGTCTCCGAAATTAATTAGCCACTTAACAAGTATATTACCTTTATTCAGTGATGTTAATTATTTCTTCTTCTCATACCCTTGACAATTTAATTTCATCCACCTTGATTAAAGACTTCATTAAAATCTTGGCTATTATTAGATTATAAATATATACTGTCGGGAAATTCTCGTCAAACTATCCATATGTTTTTGCCTATCATGATCTGTTAAAAAGTTTTTTTTTAAAAAAAAAAAAAACTTCTTGAACTTTCATTTACAAGTCTTTGAAACTGCTAAAGGCCAATCACGTCATCCCAAACTTCCAAATCTCAGTGAATCAGATGCTATGTGTTTTTTTTAAAAAAAAAATTCCCTTAGCTTTCAGATGAATCACCTTTTATTAAAAATTTTTCCTTACAAGAAGTTATATATCAACTGGATCCATATTTGCTTTAATTACACACAAACATATTAGTTGTAATTTTTTTCCTTTAAAGTGTGTTTGATTTTAGAGGAGGGGAGGGAAGGGAGGATTTTAATGTTATGTTGGAGGGGAGGGGAGAGAAGGTGTTTTCGATGATTTTTTGTTTGGTTTCGGAGGAGAGGGAAGGTGAGATAATAACTATTTTACTATTATATCTCTATACATTAGTTTAATTTTTTTTAAATTTTTTTCTTGTAGAAAATAATTTTATACCTTAATTTAAATTGCATGATTTTTTTAAAAAAATTTACCCTCATCCTATCATATTGTCAATATATAAAAAAAATTAAATTAATAATTATAATAATAACAATTTTTTATAAAAAATAAATATCTAAATGTATAAAAAAATATGATGAAATGTCACTTTTTTTAAAAAAATTCAATGAGATCAGTTGAAGTCTAGGAGTGAAGTACAATTTAACATGAAAGAGAGTTTTTTTAGCTATCGGTATATTTAGAATATTAAAAAATATTAAAAAAATAATTAAAAAAATTAGCTCCCCTTAAAAATACCCCAATTTGGAGGGGAGCAATACTCCCCTCCCTAACAAAAACCCCCCAATCAAACAGCTTTGATCACTTGGCTAGCTGTTGAGCAATTCTAAATTCGAAATCCTCTCAGTTACTTCTCAATTTTTATTTTTGAAGTAGATCAGTTAAGTCTAATCAAATAGTTTGTACTTTGCATATTACTATATGATATAGATCTACCAACTTAATGACCATAAGATTCTAAGTTAGAATTAAAGAAGTTTGTCTTCAAAATAAACTTTGTTTATTTCAAAATATTAGTCTTTTTGAAGAAAATTTTTTATTTTATTTTTTATTTTTTTAAAATCTCAAAGCAACATTTAGTATTTTTTTTCTTATTATATCCTTTTTTATTTCAATAACTTTAAAACAACATTTATTAAGTTTTAGGGGTAAATTTAACAATGTGGCTAAATATTCTTATGTATTAGTTGCATTTTCAATCCGTGTTCAATTATCTTAAAAGACCTATATTTTGAAATGGACAGGAAAATAATTTCTGCATATTTAATGAAAAACATAAAAACATATGACCAATTGGAGTTCTCAATTACTACTGGTTGAATGATGCAAGCCCTTAATAGCCCAAAGATTTCGTAGAATCAGGTTGGTCAAGGTTTTTGTTAAGATTAATTATCGTCTTTGAGCAAATTCCTAGATCTCACTTAGTATGGAGAATACTCCCTCCAGATCATAATATATGACATATTTTAAAAATTTTATTTGATCTAAAATATAAAATATTGGGTAAATTTTATGATTGGTCTTTCAACTATACCCCTATTTTAGTTATTACTCTTTTTTAAAAATGATACGTTAAAATTTTAGTAATCATTATCAAAGCATTTACATAAATTATTTAATGAGGGTAAAATTAAAAAAATAATTTTTTAAAAAAATTGAAGTTTTAACTAATATTTTTTAAAAAACTACGAATTAGTCATCGGTATCCTATATTTTGGATTGAAGGGAGTATTTCATTATAAACAAAACAATGGAATGAAAAAGATATTCTTCATTTCATTGACCAAGTAAGCTTTTTTTACTGACACCCATATGAAGGCTTAAATTTATATATTTATAAATCAGTTCATTAAGGCAGATGTGCTCAATAAATGTTTTCAATTACAATGACACAGTGGGAGACTGGCGAATAGGACATATGAACCCAAGTTTTCAATTTCTCACTATAATTATATGGATTTAAAAGTTAATGTCTATTTTCACCCCCTTAAAATTTTAATGCTCGTTCAAAATGAATTTGTTCAGAATCATCTCATCTCCAGTATTGTCAAGAAAATCAAGGACTTCATTATGCAGAATTAGACTATCACTTTCGATCACGTAAATATGCAGACTAGATGGCTCAGTAAACTTCACAGAGTATTGTAAACATCAATGTTTGTTATGATCCGCCTTCAAGGAGCAGAAAAAATCTGTTAAGATGCTATAACTTGACTTTGTTGCTGTTTTGCAGAGTTTTCGTTGAGGAGTCCTTCAATTAAAAACAAAAAAACAAAACAAAAACATTGTGATGGATGCAACTGAAAACCCTACTAAACTTGAGTCTCGCTTGCTTGCTTGTTAGAAAGGAATAAAATGGAATAAAAAAATACAGATAAAAACAAAATAATTAAAGGAGATAAGTGAATATATTTATAAAGGAAATAGGTAATTTAATTTATGAAGTTAAGAATCATGATTAATGAAATTTTTAAAAGATATAATAATTCTCACATTTAAAGTATATATTAACGAGTTTTATCATACTTATCATTAAGAGAAGAGTAATTTAATTCATTTTTATCTTAATTTTTTCAATTCTTTTTATTTCATTTTATTCTAGCAATCAAACAGCTGGTCCCCTCTTCAGTCTTCACTTTCATTACAGAAAACAGTGTCGTTTGGGCACTGCACCAAAATCTAAAATTAAAAGACGTCAATCCTGGATCAACAACCATGATTTCCATTCACTTACAGCTTGAACATCAATCGAATTTGGGTTCTTTCCACTTTGGTCTTGTATGTCCATATTCTTTCAAAATCTGGAAGAGGCTACACAGACCAAAGAATGAGAAAAATTCAGTTTCTAATTGTTTTGGCTCCGAAGCAATCAACCATAGCTCACAACATATCTAACTTTATAGCAGAAATAAATTTTTCTTCTCCCTGAAAATTATAGATTTATTTTACTAATGAACCGCAACAGACAACAACAACAACAACAAGCCTTTATCCCACTAGGTGGGGTCGGCTACATGGATTGCAAGACGCCATTGTGCTCTATCATTTATTAAGCTTTTAAAAATATTATTAATTAAGAGATCACGTTCAACAACTTCCAAGAGTGTTCTCTTAGGCCTTCCTCTACCTCTCTTAATCGGACTCAAAGTTATATGTTCCACTCTTCTCACTGGTGCCTCCCTTGGTCTTCTTTGTACATGCCCAAACCATCTCAACCGATTTTCTACCATTTTTTCCTCAATAGGTGCCACCCTCACTTTTTCACGTATGTGCTCATTTCGAATTTTATCTTTACGTGTATGTCCGCACATCCATCGTAACATTCTCATCTCTGCTACTCCAACTTTATGCTCTTGCTGTCCCGTTAGAGCCCAGCATTCACTACTATATAACATTGCCGGTCTGATAGCAGTACGATAAAACTTTCCTTTAAGTTTATTAGGCACCCTACGGTCACAAATAACTCCTTTAGCTTTTCTCCAATTAAACCACCCAGCTTGAATTCTATGTGAAATATCTCCACTGATTTCGCCATCATTTTGAATAATGGCTCCCAAATATCTAAACTTTTCCCAAATAATGAACCGCAACAGAGACTGCCAAAAATTAAACCAAAGAGACCATGAGTCAATATTTTCACATCAAAATCACAACAATTACAACATATTCAAAATGATGCACTTGAAAATGACAAACAGTTGATCGAAATCCTTATAAGGAGATTAAATTGTTGAGGAAAGATGCAGAGCCCAATGACGCAAGTGAAACCTAGTAGTCCCAAAATTAGAAGAAAAATGTTAGGGAACTGCACATGTTACTAATTTTAGCTGTAACAAGTGTTGTTACTCTCGCGGGAATCTCACAAGATAAGTGTGGTTTATACTTTATATAAGTGTAAGGGGTGAGCACAAGTTCAAAGGAGAACCCATTCACAAAACTAACTTGTTAGATGGGAGAGTCTTTTCAACTTATAAATTCCATTTTACTTGGGAGACTCATAACAACATGTTATTATGCCTCATTCTACTGCAATAGAGAGAGGAAGTTACATGCACAAGTCCAAGTTCAGAAAAGAAAGCAGAATCAGGAATCTGGAAAAATTATTATCAATTCAACATTGATATCAAGAAAGGAAAACACAATTATTGGTCCTTATAATTTCATCAGGTTTTGCTTTTACTCCCTATAGCTTTTCTAATGTTTTCATTTCCTATAATTTCAACACATTTAAATGACGCTTATTGCTCAGATCTTTATAGTTTCAGTGCTTTTAGTCCCCATAAAGATTGAAAATATGGAAAAAAACTACAGACATCAAAAACAAAATCCAATAAAATTAGAAGGACTAATGATCATGTTTTTCCTGTTAAAAAAAAAAACAGTGGACTTGAAGTAATCCTTGATTATAGCATATCCAATAACATCACCACCCAGCTTCCCTGAAACCAAATTGATCACAGATGATTGAAGATAAAGAGAAATAGCCAGAACTATTAATTATAAGAATAACACTAATCAGAGGCATTTAAACTTCCCCTACAAGATTCAACCCCTACCATTTAGTGAAGCATGAGACCCATTTTAACCACCACCAATTAAAGCTTATGGCTTTTGGTTCCTGGGTGGATTCCTCCACGCCACATATCTCATGCTGCTCACCAGAATAGGAGGAGGAATCATGCAGTGATTGCTTCATTGATATTGTTCAGCCTTATCTTCCTTGAGAAGGAGGAAGAACCATTTTGCGTGTTCTTTATTAAAAAAAAAAAAAAAAATCCCAATTTCCGATCCCCTCCTTCACTGTATGCCATTTCTAATCATGCTTGTCTGTATTTCTGGCCATGGATCGCTCAAGATGCACCTGCATGAATCAAACAATAGAGCGTAGTGGAGGTGCAGAGGATGGAAACTGCAGTCGGGAGGCTTTTAACGTGCAGCAGATGATGTGGCAGGATAACAAACGTTACAACAAAATGACGTGGCATCATGAGGATCCATTAGGCATAGTTCCTTTCACTTGGACAAGCATCTTCGTTGGAGAGATACCTTCAGACTATAGTAAAAGGAATAGAAGACTCAACCCGTGGTTCACTCTTTTTCTAAACTTAGTTTTCGGCTTCTAATTTGATTTGTCTACATTTCACTGGCCGGATATTCTGACTTATAAAACTTTTGGAGGGCAGGTTACATTTACATGACTTTTACAATCTAATGCAACAGGATCTGACAGGGTTTCGGACGGATTGTACCACATTCTAGTTAAAGTAAGATGGAATATTGTTTATTGCCAAGTACGGCCAGAAGTTGAGGACCCTCCCGTGGAGTTGAATGATGTGCTCAACTTGAAAAGTTTTATCAGATAAAGTTACTCTTTGCATTTAGGAAAATAAAAGAACAATAACAATCGAATTTATGATCTATTTTGATATTCATAGACTTAGAATATTTGTCAACATAATGTGAAAAAAAGATATCATTGAACATCCTTCTACAACCCAGAACGTGACCAAGAGTATTTCAGTATAACTTTGGATGGACCCAAAAAAAAAAAAAAGAGAGCATTTCAGTATAGCACACGTTATAACCATAAAAAGTACCTTACTAGAAGATATGATTTTCAACTATGATCTTGATTAGTGAGTTACCAAACAGAAAGCAATGTCCTGCCAATTCAGAATTCAAACAGGGCCTTCAGAACATTGATATCAATTAGAGAAAGACAGTCAAGCATCGAGCACAACAGTTGAATAATTCTAAAAAGTCAAGTTACATAGGACTGACTTCAGGCAAAGTTCCAGACTGACCTTTATAGATGCCCAATATGTGAGGAATACTTACCTCAAAACTGAACATAAATTTCTCCAGAAACTTTTTCTCACTTAATGAAAATATGTTATAGGGCATATCTCTTTTTATCAAACCCTTAGTTCTCAAAAGTCTAAATACTGACCATCTAGGAATCATCCTCGTCTCCAAGCTATAGCCAAGAAGAGATGCAGATCTAGCTATATCTTTCAATGGCAAACGCGCTTCATTAGTAATAACTTCATTGATTTCTTGATTTTCTTCTCTGACTTAAGCATGCAAATTGGATAGTTACTGAATGCTATAAGAGTGATATCTCTGGCCATGCCACACCTCTTAAAAATATCCACCTGAGTCCCATGTGGATTTTTTTCACCCTTGAAATGACAGATATTGACATAATAAATGTGGCCTTTACAGGTTCGATTCCAATTCCACAGCGAACTCGGCATATTCAACAAACTTTGCATGCTTCATAGATGCTGCGCCAGTAAATTTAGTTAGCATCATTGAGACAGAAGATTCAGGCACTCCATGTTCTCTTAAAACCTTTAGGTTTGCAACCAAATCCTGTACATGACAGGTGTGAAACTTCGATGAAGAGTGTTTTATAGCTGTAAGTACAATCCCATCATAATTACTTACGCTCTTAGTGGCCTCATAAAAGGGGATTAAAAATTTCTCTAAGCTCCGAGATAGGACTGCAGGACTAGAAGAGGTGAGTTCTGGGATCTCAGAACTAGAAAAACCAATAGACAGGAAAAACCTCATCTTGGGCAGAATGATCATCTCAGGATTTGCCAAAAGCAGATTTAGCCAATTTTTTATAGATATCTGTGTTTCTGATAATCCGTTGCTCCTGAAAAGAATAAGTACCAGATTGGGTTTGTCTGGCTCTCTCAATGTAATCTTTCCAGATGCTTGAATAGCTGCTTTGCAGGACAAGCCACATGAGTTAACGAGATAAGAGACAGTAAACGATTCATTCCCTTCTTGCTTATGTTTCAGATGAGCAGACTCAAATGATTTCACAACTGAATAACACGAATTGAAAATGTGGGAAGCATTGAGATGGAGAAAACCCACACGGTTCCTCGTAATGCATGTTCGGGACACAAATAATCTTGCAGTCATGAAATTAAGCATGAATGGTGACGAGGAACTCACCCATATTGCGTCCTCAGCTGCAAATGCTGTCACACGCAAATGCAGTGGAATCACTAGGTCTCTTTCGTTCTCAGCTGCAAATGCTCTCACGTGCAAACGCAGTAGAATCACTAAGTCTCTACTTCCATATTCTGCGATCTCTTGGGGTTCTTGAGGTAGTTGGCTTCCCCAAAAGGAAAAATGAAGGTTGGAACCAGACGCTCTACTTTCGCGTTAGGCAAAGAGCCGGAAAGAGGGGTCAAGTGCGGGCATGAGTTCTAGGTGACTGCAGCTAGCAGTAGGTTAATCAGGCTTAAACCATTGAATGAAAAACCAGACTACCTCGTGAACGCCTTTTATGTAACAGCTCTCACCTCATCTTTTGGAGGTCTGTTGGATTAGGCCAAGGTCTGTTGGATTGGACCAATTTATAGCTAAATTTAATTTTCAACTTTTTTAAGATAATAAAAGTTGAAAGTTCAAGTCTGAAAAGACTTTAAAAGATCTTTTTAATAAGGTGAGAGGTATCACCTTAGAAAAAAATGGCTTCTGCTGCTGTGATGTGAGTTGGCCTAATTCAAAAAACCTCTGAGAGGGTGGGGTGAAAGCTGTTGTGACCGACAAACTGCTTTTTTTCCTGTCTGATATTTTTATTGAACTATTCTAGAATCGATCTGATCTAACCCGGCTAACTTGAGGTTAACCTGAAATAATTCAAGTAACTTGATGGGTTGAACAGGTTAGTTGGATTAATTTTTTGCCTAAAATATCCCAAAATAATATAGTTTTTAGATTTTTAAAAGGTACAAAAAAAAAGGCAAAAAACATAAATGCCTAAATTTGAAGGAGTCTAGTTTTTATTTCTTTAAATTTCTTAATTTTGCTATTGACCTCGAGTCTTCATCTCTTCCCGTCATCAACCTAGCTAAAGTTTAACACCTCACCATCAAGTTGTTTTTCCTTATTGAGCTTCTTTGCAGTCGAGCTACTTCTTTTTGTTTCTCTCTCCTTTTTTACTCAATTTAAAATATAAAAGATGAAGTCAATTTTATTTTTTTAAAAATATAACATTGATAGCAAGAGGGTGATTGGCTTCTCATATTAGCAATCGATGCACACTTCTTACTTTTCTTGGAACTTGTACTACTTCTTTATTTTTTTTAATTTTTATTTTAATTTAATATTACTAATACCCAATCCCGCTTTTTCTTAACTTTGTGAATATATTTTGGTAATTATATATGTTTTTTCTTGTCTTTCAGTTCTTTGGATTTTTTATTTATTTTATTAATATTTCAAACATTACTGTCTTTTATTTGAATTTTTTTTGTTATTAAATAAATACATTTTTATATATTTTAAATAAATTTTATTATTTTAATAATGATTGGTTTGACTTCAGTCTAATCCCAATTAAACCATTGACCCTTGAATTATTACTTGTATTGGTTTAATGATCGATCTAATTTTTAGCATTTTAATTTAAACAAACTAAAAAATAAACTAGTAAATTTCAAATATGAAAAAAAGGACAATTTATTAAAAAGTATTAGTCCATTGCAAACAAAGACTCATTCCTAAAATAGAATGGGCTAAAAACAAAAACAAACAACAATAAAGTCAACATAAAATCAAAAATAAAAAGGGGCCTAAAAACATATCCAAGTTATTAATAGATCAAAGAAATTCATTGCCATCTTGATGTAACAAAGATCCTTAATTTAATAATACAACAATTATATGAATAGATAGCAAGCTTTGTCTCCACATGATCTTCCATCCTTTATTTTGGAGTCCCCATAAAAAAATTACTTTTTTAATTCATGTAAGCGACTGCATACAAGCATATAGTAAATCAATGGAAATCACTAGGATATTTATTTGATTATGTTAATTTAAAAATAATTTTAAAACTAAAAAATAAATTAATAGAGTGACGGTTGTTAATTATTATTGGTAGTGGTTTATGATTAAAATTGATAAAACTAACTGTATTTTTCAATAGTCAACTATAGTATGTTTTGAAAATAAGAAAAATAACACAAAAACAATTCTAAAATGTTTCCAATTAAAAAAACAAAAATAATTTTTAAAATAATTAAATTCAAAATAATTTTTCAAACAAGTTTTTAATTTTTTTTTATTTTTAAAAACAAAAATCTGTTTTTAAAAATAAATAAAACAAACTCTTAATTTATCTTTTTTATATAAGGATAAATAAAAGAAAAATTTGTAAAAAATTATAGAGTTGGTATCAGAATTAGTATCAAAATCTCATTTTACCCAATACCTATATAAAAAAGATGATATTAGAAGTTATATTAAATAGGAGGATCTGTTATTGCAAACAGATTATTAAACAAATTATAATAAATATTAATATTAATATTAATAATAAAATATCCTAATCTTCCCTCTATTTTACATTAATTACATATATATCTTTTCTATTTTTAAAACTTATATGTACCTCCATTGATATGAATAGTTAAAAAGTACAAATATCTCTCTATTTTTAAGTTTTCATTTACATCTACTAAATTATTATTTAACCATTAAGTTGTATATATTGGGCTTAAATACCCCTCCTTAAATGTAAATTTTATCTAAAAGTTAATCATATTAAAAAGGCTTAATCATAGGTGTGAGTTTGAGAAGGAGAAGAATATTTGTAAGCACCTCAAACAATATTTTGTTTTGTTCTATTCCTCATTTAATCATTGTAATAATTTATTAATTTTTATGAATATTTTAAATAATTGTAGATGATGATGATGATTGGTTTTCACCTAAACAGCTAAATGAAAGAAGCCAAACATTAAAAATAAATGTATTCAACGTTAACTGTATTTTATTCTATTGTCTTCCTTAAGAGCATCCATGTGAGAATCATCCAAACATTAAAGCACATGAAGCTTTTACCTAACTTTCTAGAGTTGAAACTTTTGCCTTTTATGATGCTAAAATCTTCTCTTCATGATAGGTACCTAATTTTCAATTTGTTAGTCAATTTATAAATTTAACAAATGAATTTGTTAATTTTGCTTAAATGCTACATTAAAAAAGAAATTATTTTCATAATTTTTAGGATCTAACCTATGTGTATTAACTTCCATCATTTATTTTGAAATCCTCATAGAAAACTTGCTTTTCTAATTCATGCAAGTGATTATATACAGCCAATAGGAAATCAATAAAAATTAGTAGAAAATTTGTTTGATTATGTTAATTTAAAAATAGTTTAAGAATTAAAAAAATAAACTAATATGGTTATGGTTCCTTATTATTATTGGTGGCGGTTTACAATTAAAATTGATGAAGCTAACTATATTTTTCAATAGTCAAATGTGGTGTTTTAAAAATAAAAAAATAACATGAAAACAATTCTAATATTTTTGCATATGGTTTAAAAAAAAGCAGAAAACAAAAACAATTAATTCAAAATATTTTTTTAAATGAATTTTTTATTTTTTTATTTTAAAAATAGAAAGCCATTTTTAAAAACATGAACAAAATGAACCCTTAATTGACTTTTTTTATATAGAGATAAATAAAAAAGTATTTGTAAAATATTGTAGAGTTGATATCAAAATCGGTATCGAAATCTTATTTTTCCCAATACCTATATAAAAAAGGTGATATTAGAAGTCACATTACATAGAAGGATATGTTGTAGCAAACAGGTCATTAAACAAATTGTAAAAAAATATTAATAATAAAATATTCCAATCTCTTCTCTATTTTTCCTTAATTACATATACATATTTTTTTATTTTGAAAACCTATATGAACTTTCATTGATATAAATGGTTAAATTTTCATTTCCATTCACCAAATCATTAGTTAACCATTAAGTTATATATCTATTGGGTCAAAATACCTCTCCTTAAATATAAATATTGTCTAAAAGTTAATCACATTAAAAAAGTTTGATAGTAGGGATGAGCTTGATGGCATGATTACATCAAAAAGGCTTAATGGCAAGAATGAGCTTGAAAAGGAGAATAATATTCATAAGCACCTCAAATACTATTTTATTTTGTTTTATTTAACATTTAATCATAGTAATAAGTTAATAATTTTTATAAATATTTTAAATAATTGTAGCCTATAATGATGATTGACCTTCATCTAAACAACTTAATCAAATGACATGAACATTAAAAATGAATATATTCAACCTTGATTATATTTTATTATATTGCCTTATTCAAGAGTATCCAAGTGAAAATCAGTAGAGAACTATATTTAAAAGTAATATAAAGCATATAAAGCTTCTGTCTAACTTCTCAAAGTTGAAACATTTGCATTTTGTAATGCTAAAACCTTCTTTTCATGATAAGTATCTAATTTTTATTTCATTAGTCAATTTATAAATTTAGAAAATGAATTTGTTAGTGTTGCTTATAGGCTTCATTAAAAAAAAATTTCATAATTTTTAGGATCCAACCTATGTATATGATCTTTCATCCTTTCTTTTAGGGTCCTAATAAAAAAACTTGCCTTTTTGATTCATGTAAGTGACTTCTGTTTTTTGGGGTTAAATGTAAGCTAGTAGGAAATTAATAGAAAATTTATTTAATTATATTAAGTTAAAAATAGTTTTAGAATTGAAAAAAATAAACTAATAAAATGATGGTTGCTAACGATTATTGATGGTGATTTATGATTGAAATTGGTGAAGCTTACTATATTTTTCAATAGTTTGTGTTTTGAAAATAAGAATAACATAAAAATAATTTTAAAATATTTTCATTTTTTGTTAAAAATAAAAATTTAAAATAATTAAAATCAAAATACTCTTCAAAATGAGTTTGTTATTAATAAAAATAGAAAGTCAATTTTTAAAATAAGAACAAAACAAGCCTTTAATTTATTTTTTATAAAAGAATAAATAAAAAGAACATTTGTAAAAAATTATAAAGTTAATATTAGAGTTAGTATCAGAGTCTCATTTTTTTTCAATACTTAGATAAAAAAGATGATATTAGAAGCCACATTAAATAGGAGGATGTATTGGAAAAAATAATTAATTGAGGAAATTATAATAAATAACAATAATAACATATCATAATCTCCTCTCTATTTTATATTAATTACATATTTTTTTATTTTTAAAATTTATATGAACCTCTATTGATATGAATGGTTACAAAGCATTAATATCCTCTATTTTTTAGTTTTTATTTAAATTTACTAAACTATTAGTTAATCATTAAGTTATATGTATTAGATCAAAATTTTTCTCTTTAAATATAAATGTTATCTAAAAGTTAATCATATTAAAAAAGCTTGATGATAGGGATAGATTTGATGGTTGATGGCTAGGATGAGCTTGAAAATGAGAAGAATATTCATTAGCATCTGAAATAATATTTTATTTTTATTTAGTATTTAATTATAGTAATAATTTAATAGTTTTCATAAATATTTTAAATAATATCAGCCCATAATAATAGCAAATTAAAGAACCCAAATGAGATTTTAATTAAATTCAAAGCAAAAAATAAAAATAATTTTTAAAACAACTAAATTCAAAATACCTATCAAAATAAGATTTTAAATTTTTTAATAAAATAGAAAGCCATTTTTAAAAATAAGAACAAAATAAGCTCTTATTTTAATTTTTTATATAAGAACAAAAGCAATCTCTAGCGAGGTGAAAAGAAGGGAGAAAAAATATTGTGATGCGAGATGTTTTCTAATGAAGAGAGAGAGCGATTTTTTGCAAAATTCTGAATCCTCAAAAGCTGACCAGAAACTAAGATATTTAGAGTATGAAAGATCAGAACTAACATCAAAGCTTTTAACTTGTTATATGATTAAGCGGAGGATGATTTTTAAGGAGCACCCCATACTCTAAAGTATTTTTTGAGAAGTATCTAATACTGTTAACTATTTGTTAGAATAATTTTATTTTTAAAGTAATTAAAACATAGCACTTTTGTTCTTGCCGTTATATTTTCTAATCATTAATGCTGGAGTTCCAATTAAAATTTTTTAACGATCAATGTTGAAAAATTTCATGACAATAGTAAAAATATTTCATTTTAATTACTTTAAGAAAAAAATTACTTTTACAAATAGTTTAGTGTGTTAGGTGGTCCTTAAATAGTACTTTAAGAATAAAAATACACATTTATCTAACAAAATCAAAATTTAAAAAACTTATATGGTTGAATTTTTTTGATATATGAACTACTAAATTTTAACTAGGTTTAGAAATTCTTCTTAGTCTTAAATAGCTTGACTTATGAGAATATTTATTAGGAATACAGAAAAATATTAATTTTAAAAGATTTACCCAATTACAGGCTTTCATTTGAATTGTAATCCAATAATAATAAAAAGTTAGATAAAAATATTTATGAAAGTTTGAAAAACTAAGGAATATCACAACACATTTTAGTAACAAGATAGAATTAGATAAGTGTATGAAATAATAAATAAAAATTAATTTGATAAAAATGGCAAACCAATTACACGTGTTAAGAGTGATAGGGTTAGATGATTTAGGATTAAAAAGTCAATTAACTACATTATTTAATTATGTGAAAATGTTAAGAGCAAGACATTGTTGATGGATAAAAAGCTTATGAGACTTCTTAAATGATTTAGTCATTGTGAATATGAATCTACAATAAATAAACAAAAAATTTGCAAAAATTTTCATGGAGTTGGTATCAGAGTTAATATCAAAACCTAATTTTACCTGCTAGCAAGTGCAACAAAATTATAGCACATGCTTAAACAAAAAAAAAATTGTTTCAATTTTAGATAATGTTTAGAATAATATATTTTAAAATGTAAAATAAATTCAATCATACTATATATAATATTAGTATGAAAAGTATTAATTAACAAAGGATAAATGCTTTTTGGATGAAAAATTATCTAAGGACTATAATATTGAAAGTATAAGAACCATTTATTTGATATTTTAGGGTAATAAAAACCAAAGCAATATCAATTAAAACATGTACCAAAATTGTAAAATAGATAAAATTTTGAAAACCAAAAGTTCATTATTCTCTTAAAATTTAATTAGAAACTAAAAAATATAAAAATAAAAACTATTTAGATTGAATCTAAATTATATAGAGTGGTAAATCTCTTTTAATGATGCCATCATACATGATGGAATGATTTTTTTTTTTTTACTTTTGCAAATTTAGCCCATGTCATAAGACCAAGTAAAAATAATAGCCCAACCTTTCTTAAATTTGAATAATGACTGCTTTAATATTTATATGAGATTTAATTGACAAGGCAGCCCTTTTAAAATTATAATGCTTTAGTTTTTTCAAATACTTGAATAGAATGAAGACTCGAAGAAACAGGAGAGCAGAGTAGTATAAGAGAGCTACAATCACAATAGCGAGAGAGAGATTGATAGAACAAAGTACTCGAATAGTTAACAATTGACTGTTTCCTAACTTTTTAATCTCAATTTCTAAAACCCCTTTTCATTGGTGCTGAAGAGAAAGAATTCCTTCTATTGTCCCATCTTTGTTTCTTAGTATTGGTGATATAGGGTTTTATATATTCAAGATAAAATGGTGTTGGTAAGTTTTTGTTGATATGGCTTATATATCATTAATATATAATAGTATATCAAATGATATACTATCGTAGATCAACATCGTGAACCAGACAATCAAAAATAAACTATTCTATCATTGATATACAGCCGTATATTAATGATTTAGTGGATCAATAATACAAAAAAAAACATAATCATTTGTCCATAATGAAGCAAACATAGTCCGCAAAAAATTCTGAACTTTTAGCTTATCATAGATAATCAAATATCTAAATTAATAAAATAAAAAAAATCATGAACAATTAGAGAATAACCTGTGTTTTCTGATAATAATTCAAATAAAGTTTTATTATCAATGACAACAAATCACAGATTATGAACAAATGTACAACTATGTAGTAATATTATTGAGAAATATGAAGATGGTGAACGATAGATAATAGATCTCAGCCTACTGTTCAACTTTTAGAAACCATAATCCGATGATAAGTCCTATGAGTATTGGATAACACTATTGAAAAATATTTGACAGTAAAAAGGAAAGGAATGACTATAAAAAGGGGAGAAATAAGATGGCTGTGTGTGCAGGGAATCGATTTAGTTAGCTAAACGGTAAAGAATTTAGCTAAAGGTTAAAATCATTTAGTTACATGATATATATTCCTAGCCTAATTTATGCGGAAGTTATTATTGTGTGTTTTATATTTGTTATGTGAATAAAAAGGAAAAATCACCTCCAACTAATTTTGTGAATGAATCATATTTTAAAATATTTGAAAACCTTATTCGCAATTTTTTAGAACTATTTTTCATAGCCATTGGGCCAATTTACTCTTCTTTTTTCTAAAAACCTGGAATAACATTAAATAGCTATTAATATTATATACAGTAATTTATGAACTAAATAAATAACATTAAGCAATCATATGGGATTTAGTGCTCATTAAGCATTCTACGCTAAAAAGAACCATCACTTCATTTTGTTATTCCTAATACACGTGTTATCAATTGTTAGGAGAGGTTTACCAATTATTCACATTACTTTGAGGGAAGTATTTTCTATTGTCAATGAAACCTACTTCTTTTGTTTTGAACAAAAGGAATTAAGCGTCATTTTTATCTCCCAACTTTACCTAAAATGTCTGTGGGCACCCTAAATTTAATTATGAATTAATTTTATTTCTCAATGTTAAAAAGTTCTCTGCTTAGTTAACCTTAATGCTATTCTCTCATTATGTGGGTCTCATATTTGAAGTTTTATAATAAAAAATATTAAAAAAACAAATATGGAACCCACTATGCAATATTTTATAATAAGAAATATTAAAAAATTTAAATATGAGACTAACATAAGACGAGTTAATATTGGGGGTACCAAGACAGAATTTCTGAAGTTAGAGGATAGAATTGACTCATAATTAAATTTATGATATTCATAGACTCTTTGAGTAAAGTTAGGAGAGCAAAAGTGACCCTTCATCTCAAAAAAAGTACATCCGTTATCAGTTATGCATACAAGTAAAACCATGGCTTGAACTAAATTACATTCCCATTTCTCTCAAGTTCCAATAAAGGAGGGAACACAATCACTGCTATCATAAATCAAATAGGACATCATCCACATTGATGAAAGAAAGGGAATGCTTCAAACATTAGGAATAGAGAGGAGCAACAATCGAGGTGTCAGTCTAGTTCCTTCACAATCTTGATTCCCATTGTATTAGCAGTGCCAATGATAGACTTGGAAATAGATTCAAGAGACATGTATTGGCAATAAGGATCGGACTGTTTAATCTTGGCAATCTCGTAGATGTGCTTCAGAGAGAGCGCAGAAGCCACCACGTGGCCTGGGCGGCTGCTGCCAGATTCGATGCCAGCTGCTTTCTTGAGATACCAAGTCACAGAGGGAGATTTGACGGTGAACTCAAAGGTGTTATCTTTGAAGGCTGTGATGGTCACCGCCATGGGCGTGTCTGGCTTGTACTTCTGGGTTCGTGCGTTGAAGTCCTTGCAGAAGGCCATTAGGTTGAGCCTGTACTGACCCAATGCTGGACCCACAGGTGGTGCAGGTCGTGCCCCTCCAGCCGGCACAGTAAGCCTGATGGTAGCTGCCACAGGTCGCCGAGTAAGGATCTCCTTCAGGGTTGACATGGGGTTTGGTGTTCTCCACAGAAGACAACTTGCTGTTTCATGAATATGCATAGCAGATAGAGCAAGAAAACATTAAAAACACACAACTCATATTCAAATATATTGCGGCAATAAAGGGAGGATGAAACAAATTTGATTTCAAAAATATTTATTAATTATATTTTCTGCTTTATTCACAAGTCATTTACTCCAGTGGATTCTAAATTAAGGGTGTAATGTTTTTTACAATAAGAATAAAGATGCTTGTTTGTGAATACTCTGGAGTTGAAAATAGCAAGTTCCTCCAACAAATTGGAAAATGATTAGGAAATTCAGCTTGAAGGAGATATATATGACCTTCAGATCCTATGCAGTAATTCTGTAATACAATAAGAGAGAGATACAACAATAACAACAACAAGCCTTATCTCACTAAGTGAAGCCAGCTAAAGGAATTACACGATGTTATTGTGCTCTATCAACAACCAAACCCTTAGGTATACAAAGAAATAAATATTCTTTCACCCTATCTCTTTCTCATAGCATTGTGTACTAAAATAACCAAGCTACTAAAGAGAATCCAACCCCTAAGAAGTAAGGACACAAATATCATACTGTATTAACTTGCCAAAAATTCGACATTCTACCTATACTTGGTGTTTTCATTTATTTCAAAAATAAATGTTCAAAGAATTTGAACATGTTCCAAAATCCCTTCAAAAGATTCACCTCAATTTACACAGTTTAATAACATTGCAAATTTACCAAGTGTATGCATTCTATCCCACTGAAAAAAAAAAAAAAAAAAGCTGGGAGCAGGCACCCTAAAAGAAAACTACAACAGGAAACTGGAAGACTTCTTGAATTATGACAAAAGGAAAATTGATTGATAAACTCCGCTAAAAGTTCAAATTGAGTACCATACAGTGATTAAAAAGATCAAGTAGAGTATACTTTGATGTAAAACAGCTGGACAATTATAACTAAGAAGGAGGTCTAAAATTCATAATCTCATCCTCAAAGAATCATTTTATCACTGAACTTTAGCCAATAGGCACAGCCGCACACGTGCTGGTGGTATTGGCCCCCCAAAAAAGATTTTCCACAGGTTAGGAAAACTTTTCATAAAATCTGATCACACATTTCTCCACAAAAATTTTCACACTCATTCGAAAGATGGTAATTCGGGGCATATTTTGCTTGGTCAAACCATAAATTTTCAAAGTTTTAATTCCTGACCGTCTAGGCATCATCCACTGCTTCAAGCTATATCCAAGAAAAGCTGGGTATTTAGCTATATCATCCAATGACAAACCACTTCATTCACAAGAAACTTCATTGAGCTTGTAATTTATTCCTCCGATAGCCCCATGCAAAACAGATACTTCCAGAAAGAGTGACATCCCTGAATCAGTCGTGCTCTCAAAGAAATCCAGCATTGACTGTCTCCCGAGTTGATTTCTTAGTTACTGATAACACATAAATTGCCCGGATGAACGTTAGCCTAAAAGATACTGTTCCTATTTCCTTAAAGTTGACATGTTCAGCAAACTTTGCAGGCTCCATAAAGGCAAGGTTGGGTCCATGTTCTCTCAAAACCTTCATGTTTGGAACTACATTCGTCACATGCTGGTGAAGAAAAATTCATCTACTGCGTCTTAAAGCTATTGATATTTTCTCATAATCATTACCAAGGACACTCTTGAGGGCCTCAAGACATAGGATCAAACATTTCTCTAGACTCCGGCTTAGGAGGACAGAATTAGAAGAGAGGAGTTGTGGGAGTTCGGACCTAGAAAAATCAAGAGAGTCAAATCGTATGATCCCATGTTTTGAGGTCCTTTAGAGTGTCCTGGATAATGATTATGAGAAAATATCAATAGCTTTAAGATGCAATAGATGGATTTTTCTTCACAAAGAATCCACTCTTTCCGGTCTTGAATATAAGGCCTCAATACGTACCTCAAACTAACCAATAAAATTAATTAAAATTAGTTAGATATTAGCAAACTCAATCTAAGTAAATATTGGCGGGAAAAAAAATTATTTGCATTAAAATCAGTAATTCAGGAAGTATTTGCATTTGCATATTACACCGGCCCATGGCTGAAAAATAAAAAGGGGAAAGAAAGCAGATAACACATGAAAATCAATATAATTATACTTTTGTATAATACTCAGATTGTCAGACATTAGTAAAATCAATCTAAGTATATATTGGCTGCTTAGTAATCTCCAATAATCTAATGCAGGATCAAAGTGAATCTAATTTATATAATAGACAGACTGTCAGACATTAGTATAGTATAATACTCTAACGTCGGTCTAATCAAAATTTTAAACCAGATCTAAAGTGCAAAGATGAACCAAAAATTCAAATTCCCATAGCAATTGGGAGAAATAACGCTTCCTGTTTGTTAAACAAGATCTAAAATGCGAAAGAACACACAAGGAGACGGGAGGGTGGCGCTCTTACTGGTCCAAAAAGTGGAGGCAGAGACTGAGGGTGGCGCTGGCTAAGACGATAAGCTGATAGGCTGCGATCAGACGAGACAAGACACTACGAGGCTCAGAACGGCAAGAGGTTGAGATGGAGACGGACGACTAGACGACAGATCGACTGTGACTGTGAGACGCAAATGGGAGGGAAGCGTGGCACGTGCTGCTGGACGAAGCAGAGGAAAAAGAGCGTGAAATAAAAGTAAACCGAACACTTCCTTTATTTTCAAAAGCTAGAATTTAATCCAACTTTTAATATTATAAATTTTTTTTGGCCAAAAAAAATATTATAAATTTTTTTATTTGTAATTATATTGAAATTTTTAAAATTATTAATTTACTTTTATAACCTGATTGTCTGCTCTCTTCCCGAATTTAAAAATAATTAAATATATCAATATTTAAATAAATAATTTAAAATTTTTGTATTAAAATTAATGATATTTTAAAAAATAAACATAAATTATATTGAATGATTTATTGTATTAAAAATTTTTTATTAAATTTTGTTAACTTCGTGTTTGAAAATTATTTCAGACAATTTATGTATATGATTTTTTAAAAAATTGCTAAATAAATATGTTCAAATAATTAAAAAATTTAAATGTAGATAAAAATAAAAATATATGCATTAATTTTTTTTTGCATAATTTGAATAATTTTTAGACAATTTTATCTTTAAAGAAGGGTGAACATTTGTACTTTATAACTGTTCATACTAAGAAAATCATATAAGTTTCAAAAATAAAAAAAAAGATACATGTAACTAAAGTAAACAAGAAGGAATGTCATGGTATTTTACTCAAGTAAATTTACAATTTCAATTAAAATACAGAGAAAATGCTAATAAATCCCAATTTGACAAATTTATTGTCTAAAGAACCCTCAATTTAAAGACAATAAAGTTAGAATTAAATGACTTAAGTTGCTCATAACCAAATCCTCTCCTCTCCCTCTCTGTCCTTTCTAGCTCCTATTCGATTTCTAGTAGTGACATCGGCACCATTTTAGCTTGTGACTTTGTAACTGCCACAGCTACAACAATGAGTGAGGTGATGTCTTGGTCTTGAAGATATTGGATAGGAGGGATGCAATTTTTCCGTTGTTTCAAAGGATACATCTCTTTCTTGAGGGGTAAAATTGGTTAGAGAAGGATTTCAAAGGCAAGAGGAAAAAAAGAAAAGAAACAAAACGACCTAATGAGAAGAAGAGGGAAGTGGAAAATGTTTTTTAAAGTTGCATCACCCATTGGAGGAAACATCTTTCGAGATATGATTATACATTTTCCTCTAAGAAATTGTTTTTCCATGAGACATGTTCTGCAAGATGCATGTTTTTTCAATCATATGCAATGCAACGCTCTGACATTAGATGCGAGTTTCACAATAACTTCAGTTATCTGTAATTTATTTCAGTCATGTGCAAAAGTCATCATCCATCATATGCAAATTTCTTTTACATATATAAGATTCCGTCAATTATATGTAACATTATATCATGAACTGCAAGCAAATAATAGGCGCAAGACATCTGTAATGATATACTTCCTCCATTCTTATATATAAAAATAAAAAGTTTTCTAGAACCTTTTTTATCCTTAAATATAAAAAATTGTCAATATATTTTTTTCATAATGGGATCATTATATCCTTATTATATTGAAAAGGGAAAAGAAAGATTACTCATTCATTTTTTTATTTATAATAATTTGGTGTAAAACTGAAATATTGTTGTGCTATCAAATAGATCACTAACTTTTATTGATTTGGGTGATTTGATTAAAAACATCTTATATAAAAAGATAAGGAGAATAAAATTATTCTTCAATCATATGTAGTACTCTTCAATTAAGTGCAAGATTCTTTCATGTATGCCCAATATCTTTAGTTATATGCAATTTCTTTTCATTATATGCAAAAACCATCCACCATGTGCATCTTTGAAGAAAAATGGTAATTGTATCCTAAAAAATTTCATTCTACACTCCAAAAGTTCTAAAAAAATATTGCAAATTTTTTTTAGAAAAATATGGTATCCGTACCCTAAAAAATTTCAATCTATACAAATATAAAAGAAGTGGAGACAAACCCATCTGGTTCATATATCTTTAGAACACAAAACAAATACTCTCTTTGTTTATTATTATAACACATTTTTAATTGAATTATATCTTCCATGAGTTGGTTAGTTATTTTTAAAATTGCACACTTTTTTTATATTTATCTTTATTAAATATAATGTCGTAATTAAAAAATATTATTAATCACATACTCAAATTAAGGGTATTTTTAAAAAAATCTTATTAATTACACTTTAAAAATTTCAAAATATTTTATATTTTTAAATATAATAATTTAAAAAAATGCATTACAATATTAAGCAAGGGAACTATATCTTTTGGCCACCATCATAAAGCCAAAATGACATTCAATGAAAGATAATTCTCATAACACCTACTTCAACATTTGACTTCATTGCCTATTACTTGTCAACCATGTGGTTTCATGCTAATAAGCTTCCTCCCAAAATGATGGTTCTGGTGGATTTCAGATTACTCCCTTCATCTTAATTTATAAAATATTTTTAAAAATAATTTAGTATATCAAAATATAAGATATTTTTGATAAAAATAAAATTTTATCAATGGAAATTATTCCAATATTACTTCTTATTATTTCACCACTTAAATAAATTTCTTTCCCCCTTCTCTTATTAATGATAATGAAGGGTATTGAATTTGATAGATATAAAAACTTGTGTATCATGTTGTATAACATTAATCAAAACTAAGAAATTACTTACAAAGTAATCTTGTTTAAGAAATTAATAGGGAGAATTACAACCAAGTCTTACATAAAAAAATTAATTACTGCAAGATCCATTGATTGTCAATATAATTTAATTCAGTTGTCAATGGCCTTATAGTAATTAATTTCCCTGCATACTTTAATGTAATTCTTCCAAGTTAATAAAAAAATCTATCAATATCATATTAAAATACATGACAAACCAACATCAATTATTTTGACGACACAACACTTAAAAAATCATCAACCTTTTGGGAAATAGGGTTTGAATGGCAGCCCGAGTTCTTTTTTTGGAGCCTATAAGGTTTAGAAGCTTAGTTTCTCAAACAATATCAATTTTTCAAATTTAAACCCTTATTTAAACAGAGTTTTCAAGCTCGGCTTTTTAAGCCCGACTCTTATTTCTAACTATAAATCCACAGAATCTATGAGATAATAAAAAGTAAAAGAATCATGCTCTCCAGCTTTTCGTTTCCGTTGATTTGGTTCAGACACTTTCGAAACTGAAGAAAAGGAATTGAAAATGTGGGAAGCATTGTAGGGGAGGAAAACAAGTTGGGTCGTCCTCTAGCAGGAGAGCTGAGAAAATCTTGCAATGAAAAAAGTAAGCATCAATGAATGAACGAATGAACGAACGGAGAGGGATGAAAAACTCACAATGGGAGATGTCAGCCACAATCACGAGACAGCATAGACGCACAACAACGAACCCTCAAATTCTTCCATCAGAAGCGCACGTTCAACTCTCATCACCGGAATTGTGGAAGAATTCCTCAAACGACGGCGTTTATAGCTTCTTTGGTTAAATTTAACCCCAAAACTTCATTTTAAAAGCTTTTCTTTTCTTTTATTTTTTTTACTGGATTTAAACATTTGAAAACTGTTTACATTTTATTTATTTATTTTTAAAATACACTACATTTAAATATTAAAAATTATAGGTAACTGTTGTCAATCGCTCACGTAATCCACGGGGTGACAAGATTTTGGCATGCTTGAATTTTTTTTTCCTATTTTGATATTCTCAGAACAATTTTGTAAATTAATTTTTTTTAGAATAAGTTTTGCAAGCAAAAGATGAGAAACATCTGGTTAAATTATTATTCCAAAACAGTGAAATAAAAGATGAAAAAATATTAATTTATTAGCATAATTGTTCTTAATGAAAACATGACTTTTTTTTGCCTTTTCTCTAATTTTGTTGAATAAAAAATAATAAAATATTTAAAAAGTGCTCTTATTTTTTATAACAACTTTCCATTTTTGTAATTCCGTTGCTCAATATCCTAAAAAATCTAAGAGCATTATTACTTATTAATCCAAGGCTATCTAAGGCTCTTCGAAGGAAAGTACGAAAGAAAAAAATATACTTTAACTTTATATATATATATATAATATAAGCAACATATAGTACAATATTGTTGATTGCTGTGCAATTCTCAATTCCCAAAAAGAGAAACCAAAAAATCCAGATTTTAACAGCATTGTAAATTGTAATTAGTATAGAGAAGGTCAATAGCTAAACCACCAAAAATTCAAACGTAGAAATATTTTGTAAATAATAATACTAACAGCATGTTTATACTATGAAACCTGTGTTGCCTCCCCCCCCCCCCAAAAAGAAAGAAGAAAATAAAGGGAAAACTACAATAATGAGACTAAACTTGTAAAGATCAACTACTTTGAAGGCATAAACTACAATTAGAAAGCACAAAATCAGCAAGACCAAAAAAAAAATAAAGCCGGTAATTCAAATCAAGCTTGAATACATTTGAAAAAATTTAAGACTGAGCTTGGCTACATTGACTTTTAAGAGGGTAGGATATTTTAAATTCGACCTGATAAGCCCAACCCATAAAATTTCCAACTCTGTATGTAAAGTAGGTAATTTTGGCCAAGCCGAACCCAATGAAAAAATGTTAAAGCCGAGCTTGACTATATGAGTTTTTTTAAAAGCGTAAAATATTTTAAATCCAATCTGAATAAATTCAACTTGAATTAAGTCTAGCTAGAATAAGCCCGGCCCGCCATAAATACCGGCTCTACAAAAAACCAAGGCCCCAACCATTCCTGTTCTCAATCTCTCATCATGAACGCTAAAAGGACTCCTAAACATACAAGAGTAAATTAATTAGTTAAGATCAACTCCCTAATTCCTCAATCCAGACAAACAGATTATGTAGTCTCATCACATCCAACTATAAAATGGCTAAAAAATACTGATAATAGAAATAGATGCATCACCAAAAGGCATAAGGATATAAGAACTGTGTTATGATTAAGAAAATTGAATGATAAACTCCACATATATAGATATCATACAAGTTGATGCCTTGCTAAAAGAATACAGACAACAAAATTAGAGTAAGATTAGAAGAAAAACAATTGAACAATTATAATAAAGTTGACAATCAAAGCTCAATCATATTCTCCCAGAAGTAATTGGCGTCCCTCCCAGAAGTAATTGGCTTTCCTCCTCTGCAAAGGAGAGCAGATGAGGGATTACTCCAAATCTGACCATTAAATTGGATTTAATGATTTAAATTTGATAATTTTTAAAAGTATAGATTTAATTAAACGGTTCAAATTTGCAATTGAGGACAAAAATAGTGGAGAGAAACTCACCCGCTCCCAAAAACTGTCAAGGACTGAACTTTAGGAACGACTTTTATAAATGTCCAATAACTTAGAAACACTTTCCTGAAATGGAATCACAAATTTTTCCAGAAATTTTGTTTCACATAATGCGACCAAGGAACACAAGGACATGTCCCTTTTCATTAAACCATTAATTTTCAAAATTTTAAAAACTGAGAATAACTAAATCTACCAATTGCAAACCCATTTCTTCCACAAGAAACTTCATTGTGCTTGTGATTTTGTCTTCTGACAGCAGCATACAAAATGGTAACTTCCAGAATGCTGAAAAAGTGACATCCCTAGGCCAGCCACACCTTTCAAAGATATCAAGCTTTGACTCCCAGGTTGATTTCTTTGTTAGCGATGACACATGAAGTGCACCTATGAACAAAACCTTAAAAGTTGGAATTACTGCTTTCCTAATAGACTGGACATTTTCAACGAACTTTGCATGATCCACAAGAGCTACGCCTGGAAACTTAGTTATTAGAAAAGAAACAGAAGATTCAGGCACTCCAAGCCCTCTCAAAAGTTTTATGTATGGATCTCCATTTCAAGCATCAAGTTTGGGAAAATCCTAGGCTGGGTATCTTAAAGCTTTTATGACTTTCTGACTGTCATCAAGTAAACTCTCAAGAGACTCATACCGGAAAACTATACATTGCTTTAGGCTCAAAAAAAAAAAAAAAAAACAGAACACGATGGGAAGCCCTAGCAATTTCCATTCTGGGTCACCAAAGATCCTTGCCAAGGAGGAGTGAGGGATTGAAGGTAATTTTTATGATTAGACTATTTTTCTACTTTAAATCAGTAATATAGAAATAAGTAAAGAATGCAATAACTAAAAAAGATAAAGAATAGTAATAGATGTAGATAATGATTTTAATATTTGATTATTTAAACTGCAGGGAGGGAATAGGATTCTTGTGCTGTCCTTGAACTACCCTTGGGAAGACTCATCACATCCTTATAGGGTGAAAAAAACAAATGAAGCAGTGCATATTGAAATCCCAAAATTTGGAGAGCAATTACTATGGTGAAAGCAGAAGCTGGAGTCTTAATGTATGCATCTCAAATTTACATGAGCACTCCTCATGGCTTGCTAAACTAATCCAATAAGCATGCAGATGCACCACATGATCACCCTAAGACACTCGTGTGATTTCATCTTACACCGAAACAAATTCACAGTATCACCAAAAGGCATAAGGATACAAGAACTGTGTGTTATGATAAAGAAAATTGAATGATAAACTCCATATATATAGATATCACGCAAGTTGATACCTAGCTAACAGAAAATAGACAACAAAATTAGAGTAAGATTTGAAGCAAAACAGTTAAACAATTATAATAAAAAGTTGAGAGTCAAAGCTCACAATCATACTCTTCCAGAAACTCCTGAGGACTAAACTTCAAGAACAGCTTTTATAAATGTCCAATAGCTGAGGAACGCTTTCCTGAAACGGGATCACAAATTTTTCCAGAAATTTTGTTTCACTCATTGTGACCAGGGAAGAGAAGGACGGGCCCCTTTTTATCGAACCATTAGTTTTCAAAATTTTAAAAACCGAGAATCTAGGAATTATCCTTTGCTTCAAGCTATAGCCAAGAAATGCGGGGCAACTAACAATATCTACCAATGGCAAACCCATTTCTTCCACAAGAAACTTCATTGTGCTTGTGATTTTATCTTCCGACAGCCGCATGAAATTTGGAAACTTCCTGAATGCTGAAAGAGTGGCATCCTTGGACAAGCCGTACGTCTCATAGATATCCAGCCTCGACTCCCAAGTAGATTTCTTCGTGATTGCTAACACAGAAAGTGCCTGGATGAACGCAGCCTTGGAAGGATCGATTCCTATCTCCTTTGCAAACTTGACATGTTCAATAAACTTTGCCGGATCTATAAGCGCGGCCCTTGCATAATGAGTAACCAGTAGAGAGACAGAAGACTGAGGCACTCCATGTTCTCTCAACACCTTTATGTTTGAAAGTAAATTCGTTGGATCCTTATTGTGCCAACCCCATTGTTTAAAAGCCCTATTGGCGTGATCATCGTCACCAAGTACGCTCTTAATGACCTCATAACGGGGGATTATATTTTTCTTCAAGCTCAAGAATAAGTTTTCACAATTTGATAAGATGAGTTCTGGCAGTTCAGACCTTGAAAACCCTATAGACCGGAAAAACCTTAGCTTCGGCGAAAGTGTCGCTTCAGGCTTCGCTAAAAGGGCGCGTGGACACTTTTCCACAATTTTAGAGATCTGGGCATCTGAGAATCCATAAGTCCTAAATAGATTAAGCACCAAGTTAGGTTTATCAGAGCCTTTTAGTTTAACCCGTTTGGATACTTCAATAGCTGCTTCGGAAGGCATGTCCAGTGAGTCTAAGAGATAATAAAAAGTAAAAGAATCATGTTCTCCAGATTTTCCTTTTCGTTGATTTGATTCAGACACTTTCGAAACTGAAGAAAAGGAATTGAAAATGTGGGAAACATTGTGATGGAGGGAAACAAGATGGGTCCTCTTCTGGCAGGGGATTAAAGTAAATCTTGCAATGACAAAAGTAAGCATCAATGAAAGAATGGCTGAATGAAGAGTGACGAAAAACTCACGCAACGCGAGATGTCAGCTCCGATCTTCACAGAACAGATGCAGCAGAATCCCTCGATCGAATTTTTTCATATTTGGAGCGCATTGTCCTTTTTACAGTCTCAGTGGAAGAAGAAAAGAAGAAAGTCGAAAAGGGTTAAAAATTTTGGAAAGGGGGAGGGTGGGGAGGATAGCACAGAAGGGAAGGAGGACCATCGACGTAAATTAATATTAATTAAAGATCAATTAATTTAAAAATTACACTGTAATCCATTCATTATTGACTGGTATTAATTTATCATGTCAACAGATAAAATTGTTTCTAAAATAAAAAAAATACCCTTAATTGTCATCCGCTATTGAAACCTTTGTCAGAGCTTCAATATTAGCGACATGTTTTTAAAGAATATTTAATTTAGGTGGTGAAGGAAAGATTTGATCCTATCAACCTTAACTACTTAAAAAGCTTGACAATTAAATCACTCACTTTAATTATATATGAAAAAAAAGGAAGTAAATCAATCTTCTAACTACTTCTATATTATAACATAATAGTTTATTGTTAATTTTTAAATGACACTTATTATTTTACTAATATTATTTGTTAATCTGACATAAATAATTATAAATTATAAATTTTAAAACTTCGTGCATTTTATTTGTTTAAAATCAGGATGTATTATTGTTAATTAAGAATAGGTTGTTGTCAAAACTCGAATAGATATTTATTGATTAAAAACTAACACATATAATTAAGATCATTCTATTAATTTTTTCAACTTGTTAAAATTCGAATAAATTGTTGTTAATTTTTAATGAATTGTTGTGAAATCTAAATGTATATTTGTTAATGAAGAATTAACATTTGTACAATTAAGTCTATCTTATCCATTTTTCTAACTTGTTAAAGTGCAAAGCAACTACTGTTAATGTAAAATGAATTGTTATTAAAAGCCGAGTGAACACTTGTTGATAAAATATTAATATATGCAATTGCGCTCATCCTATATGTTTTTCTAATTTGTTAAAAACCTGAATGAACTGTTATTAATTTAGAATTTATTGTTATTAAAATTTGAATAGATATTTATTGATGAAAGACTAGCATGTACAGTTATGCTCATCCTATATCTTTTTCTAGTTTGTTAAAGCATGAATAAATTGATGTTAATTTATAATGAGTTATTGTTAAAAATTGAATGGATACTTATTGATAAAAAAGTAATCATTACTTAAATTAAAATAGTCATTAGTTTTTTTTAATTTTAAATTAGGAGTTTTGTAATCATTTTACAAATGATATTAATGTTACAAAGGTTCAAAGGAATTCAAAAAGTATTACTCCCTCCGTTTAAAAATATAAGACATTTTTTAAGGAGTTGAATGTTAAAAAATATAAAGCATTTTTAATCCTTTGAAATGTAATCATTATCTTTTTTTTTTAAAATACTTTTATTAATAATAATTTTATATTTATTATATAATATTTAATAAGGGTAAATATAAAAAGATAAGATTAATTTAAAAGTAGGTAATTATTTTATTAGAAGTGAGATTCAGTTAAAAATGTTTTATATTTTTTAACGGAGGGAAATATCATATTTCATAAAAATTTATTATTATTTATATATTTTAGAGGAATTTTTCATTGCATTTTTCCTGTTAATAAATATTCGTTTAAATGTTAGCGACATATTTTTTATTTTTTCCCAATAAAACCAAGTTGCTCCCACATTTGGAAAATGACGATTACCTTCTCAACTAGCAAGCAATTGCTTTGAACATGTGCTCCAACTCCATTTCTGTGATCTTAAATAAAAGACTTGATTAAAGAATTTGTTTTGTTTCTAAGTATAAGAAATCAATATTTTTTTCAAATTATTCTTGCTAATTTTATAAGTTCCCTCACTTTATTCGTCTCACATATTTAATTCATAATCTCATTAAAAAAAGGGATATTATAGCAAAAAGTGACAAATATTTTTCACACAACAAATAATCAACTTAACTAATTTTATTAATCTCATAAATTGATTAACTAGGCCTTATATTTAATGCAACAGAGAGTATATTCTTATTCTTAATTATAATATATCTCTAATTATTTGGACATTATTTTTAAGGTAACATTTTTTATGTTAAAAAGATTAAATGAATTGAATCTTAAAAAACTTATTAGAATAATAGAAAAGAATGGATTAAAGTTTAGAGTGGCAAAAGAAGCTGCTCCCTCACGGCAAATAAAATTTGAATTTTTACTGGAAAAATGATCTTCAACATGGTTACCTTTGACATATAATTATCTTCACTTTAATCCATGTCCAGTTGTGAACTGGACACCCAGACATGCGCCACCATAGTATATTTCTTGAAAGGGCAATTTTTCCCGCAAAATATTTACTTAATAATATCTATTATTCTAAATTTATATATTCCTTTCATTTAAAAATATAAAATATTTTTAATTAAATCTCACCCCAATAAAATTATTATCTACTTTTCAACTAATCTTATCTTTTCATATTTACCCTTATTAAACATTCTACAATAAATATAAATCATAATTAATAAGGACACTTAAAAAAAAAAGACAATTATTACACATCAAAAGATTAAAAATACTTTATATTTTTAAATATTTAACTCTTCAAAAAATGCCTTACATTTTTAAACAAAAAGAGTATAATACAATTGTCCCCTTCAAGCTTCAACATTTGAAAATGAAAAACAGGACGTTTTGCCGTTAAAAGAAAATTAACTTTGATAATTAATTCACTTAAAAAATTACAGAAAATAACATAAAAATTATAGAAAATAATACTTAAATTTACAAATAAGTAACAATTAAATTTCTAAAATAATATAATAATTTATAAATCTTCCTTGATACATGATCACATTTTTCACACTAGCCACAAGTTATTGAATGACGATTTATAAATTTTAGAAGAAAACTAATAAATTGTCACACAATTTTTGGAATTTAATGAATATTAATTTTCTTATATAGTAATTATGCATATTTTTCAAGCCCTTTTTTGTGATTTATGAGCTTGTTTTCTGTAATTTTTAAATTAACTAATGATCAAAACTAACTGTTTTTAAGTACCCAATGTACCATTTTTAATATTGAAGTAAGAAATTGCACCACATATAGGTTTAGGATCCTCAATACTCTTGTGCAAATAGTTGAGAACAAAAATTCCCTTTAACACATTACTAAAAATATAATTTGGGAAAATTACATACAAGACTTCCATAATACATTTAAATACTACAAAGTTCATTTACAAGTTAAAAAAAATAAATTTACAACAATAAGGACCGGTACACAAGGAGGTTAAATCTACAAGCAAAGACCTAACATGAAAGCCAGCAAACACTATCTCAACTGGTTGAAGTTTGGGGGAATTGGGTAAAGATCACTACACTAAAATTTTCTCTAATACTAATGTTAAGATGTAGATTCATCGAAATTATATACGTTCCATTGCTTCACTACCTCTTTTCTTCAGATACTAGTTGAAAGAATTTAAAATTGATTGAGAACTATGGATAAAATTGAACCTCATGTCAGAAGATTAACATAAGAACTTACACCAAGTGCATGCACATGCTCTTCCAATGACCAAACAAATTTGCAGTAGGCAACTTTTATTCATACACACACAAATATCAGACTATGGCAGCAACTCCAATATCAAGAACAAAAGCAGTAAAAAATATGAGCAAACAGCGTATGAAGACCTGTCTTTCAATTAGGATAAACGAAAATGTATTGAAAACCTTTATATGCATATATTCCTAATTAATGATTCATATTGAGCTATCGTAATACAGAAAGAACTCACTGAGAGAGATTTGAAGCAGAGCAACTGCATAGTAATAGTAAAGCCTGCAGTCAAAAATTCACAATCATGCCCTCCAAGAAACCACATATCACAGAACTTCATTCAGGTAAAGGTAAATGACCTCAATATACGTCCAATAGCTGAGGAAAGCTCAGCTGAAATCTTTAAAAAAAAAAAAAATCTTCAGAAACTTTTTCTCAATGAGTGTGAGAATCGAAGATGGGTACTTAGCTATGTAATCCAATGACATACCCATTTCGTCCACAAGAAACTTCATTGTGCTTGTGTTTTGTCTTCTGACAGAAGTATGCAACATTGAGACTTCCTGAATGCTGAAAAAGTGACATCCCTAGACCAGCCGCACCTTTCAAAGGTATGCAGCTTTGAGTCCCGGGTTGATTTCTTTGTTAGCGTTGACACATAAAGTGCACGGATGAAGAAAACTTAGAAGTTGGAGTTCCTGCTTTCCTAATAAACAGGACATTCCAACAAACATTGCATGATCCACAAAATCTACGCCTGGAAACTTAATTACCAGAAAAGAAACAGAAGATTGGCACTCCAAGTTCTTTCAAAAGTCTCATGTTTGGATCTACATTTCTAGAATCCAGTTTGAGAAAATCCCAGGCTGGGCATCTAAAAGCTTTAATGATTTTCTCATTGTCATCAAGTACACTCTTAAGGGACTCATACCAGGGAATTATACATTGCTTTAGGCTCAAAAAAATAGAACACAAAAGAAGAGAGAGAAAGGGGGGGAGGAGACCGAGCAATTTCCGTTCTGAGCCTCCAAAGATCCTTGACAAGGAGGAATGAGGCATTGAAGGTCATTTTTATGATTAGATTATTTTTCTATTTTAAATCAGTAATATAGATATAATTAAAGAATGCAATAACTAAAGCACAAAGTATAAAGAATAATAATAGATGTAGATTGGGTTTTTAATATTTAAATATTTATACGGAAGGGAGGGAATATGATTCTAGTGCTGTCCTTGAACTACTCGTGGGAAGATTCATCACGTCCTTATAAGGTTTTGTTTTTTGTGTTGGGGGGGGGGGGAACGAAGCAGTGCGTATTGAAATCCAAAAATTAGGAGAGCAATTGCTATACTGAAAGCAGAAGCTGGGGTCTTCATGTATGCATCTTAATATTTGGAAACTAAAGACTAGCGCATAGCAACAGCAAATTTAAATGAGCACTCCTTATAGCTTGCTAAACTAATCCAATAAGCACGCAAATGCATGACATGATCACCATAAGAGGCCAGGTAAACTGATTAAAGAGCAGGAAACTAGGTAATGAGCACCCGTTTGGTTTCATCCTACACCAATACAAGTTCCTAGTATCAACAAAAGACATAAGGATGCAAGAAAATTGAATGATAAACTCCAGATATATAGATATCATACAAATTAGAGTAAGATTTGAAATAAAACAAATGAAAAATTATAATAAAGTTGAGAGTCGAAGCTAACTATCATATCCTCCAAGAAACTCCCAAGGACTGAACTTCAAGAACGACTTCCATAAATCTCCAATAGCTTAGGAACACTTTCCTGAAACGGGATCACAAATTTTTCCAGAAATTTTGTTTCACTTAATGTTATCAAGGAACACAAGGACATGTCACTTTTTATCAAACCATTATTTTTCAAAATTTTAAAAACTGAGCATCTAGGAATAATCCTTTGCTCCAAGCTGTAGCCAAGAAATACAGGGCAATTAACAATATCTACCAATGACAAACCCATGTCATCCACAAGAAACTTCATTGTGCTTGTGATTTTATCCTCCGACAGCATCATACAATTTGGAAACTTCCTGAATGCTGAAAGAGTGACATCCCTGGACCAGCCACACCTCTCATAGATATCCAGCTTCGACTCCCAAGTCAATTTGTTTGTCGTTGCTAACACAGAAACTGCCTGGATGAACGCAGACTTGGAAGGATCGATGCCTATTTCCTTTGCAAACTTTACATGTTCAATAAACTTGGTCGGCTTTGTAAGTGCTGCCCCTACAGAATGAGCAACTATTCGAGAGACAGAAGATTGAGGCACTCCATGTTGTCTCAAGACCTTCAAGTTTGAAACTAAAATCGTTGAATCCTTATGGTACCTACCCCAGCGTTTAAATGCTCTACGTGCTTTATCGTCATCAACTATGCTCTTAAGGGCCTCATAACGGGGAATGATAGTTTTCTTCAAGCTCATAGTTAAGATTCTAGGGTTATGTATGAAGAGTTCTGGCAGTTCGGATCTTGAAAACCCTATAGACTGTAAATACCTTAGCTTGGGCGAAAGGGTCTTCTCAGGCTTTGCAAAAAGGACTCGTGGAATCTTTTCCACAAGTTTAGATATCTGGGAATCTGAGAATCCGTAACTCCTAAAAAGATTTTGTACTGAGTCAGGTTTATCCTGCCCTGCTAGCTTAACCCGTTTGGATACTTTCATCGCGAATTGGGAGGACATGCCCAATGAGTCTGTGAGATAAGAAACAGTATATGATTCCTCTTCTCTTGATTTTCCTTTTCGTTGATTTGATTCAGACACTTTCGACACTGAAGAAAAGGATTTGAAAATGTGGGAAGCATTGTGATAGAGGAAAACAAGTTGGGTCGTCCTCTCGCAGGAGAGCGAAGAAAATCTTGCAATGAGATAAGTAAGCATCAATGAACGAAAGAATGAATGTAGAGTGATGAAAAACTCACACGACAACGAACCCCAAAATCCTTCCTTCTCAAGGGCAGGTTCCGTTCAACTCTCAGTGGAAGGCTTCCTCAAATGACGGCGTTATAGCTCGATAGTTAAGCCCAAAACTTCATTTTTGAAATTAAAGTTTTTCATTTTCTTTTATTTTTTTAACTAAAATTTTGGTTTTGGCCCTTCACTTTTAATGTTAGATATAATGATTTTAATCTGTTTGTCGTACATTGTTTAATTTCAACATTTACAAATTCTAAAGGTAGTACATTTAGTTAGCTAATTTGCAAATTATTTTAAGGGTAAGAAATAAATTAGCCTTTAAATTAGGAAAAATATAACTTTTGGTCCCTACACTTTATTTGTATTTTATTATAGGTCTCTGTACCCTTTTTCAGTATCATAAACCCCCTACATTTTTATTTTTTAATATTCTAGATTCTTCCAAGATCAAAAAATGAAAAGTGTAGGGATTTAGAACACATAAAAAAAGTACAAAGACTTATAGCAAAATACAGAAATCAAAAGTTATATATTTTTTTAAATTATGATTCTGAGAGCACCCATGCGTAAATATATTTTTAGTTCAATGTTTTTTTTTAACTTTTTAAAATGATACAATCCGACTCTTATTGATAATAAAAGTTAAATTTAACTTTTAATTAATCACAAAAATGTTAGAAAAGGACATCAAAAGTTATTAAAAAAAGACCCAAAAAAATTTTTCTATTTTTTTTCAATTTTTTATAAGCATTTGATGTTTTTTATTTTGTTTTTTTTTAACTTTAACAAATAACAGGGTCTAAAAAGACTTGCCATTGATCCTAAAAAGCTTTCCTTTTGTTACCATTTTAAGTTTGAAATTTATTTTTACCCTTTAATTTAAGAGTTTAGTACTAGATGTTTTTGAACTTAAAAGGGCTAGTTTAATAAATTTAGCTTGTTTTCTCAACTCTATTCATCTTTACCCTCTAATTTAACAATTTAGTACTAGATGTTTTTGAGCTTAAAAGGGTCAGTTTAATAAGTTTATCTTGTTTTCTCAACTCTATTTATTTTCACCTTTTAATTTAACAATTTAGTACTAAATATTTTTAAGTTTACAAGGGCTAGTTTAATGAGTTTGGCATGTTTTTTCAGCTCTATCCTTATTAAACTAAACAATCCTAAAATATAATTTCAGTTTAGGAGGGGTTTAAATCTAGCAAGAATATATCCTTGACCAAAACAACCAACAAACAAAAAGACACCAAGATTTCAATATAACATAATAATTATATGTATATCAACAATATTCTACCATTTGTTAGAAGCTTGTACAATCCTCAATTCGCAAAAGAAACAAACCAAACAATCACAGAAACAAACCAAACAATCACAGCACAGTAATTAGTATTTACCTTTTCAAGGTCAACAGCAAAAGCACCAAAGATTAAAAATGTAGAAACGGATCTTATAAATTTCTCCCACGGTGCTACTATTATGCTTTCAAACTAAACAATAAAACCTGTGTTGCTTCCCCCACCCCTAGAGCCAGAAAAATGGATTGAGTTCACGAATTATCCCATTTAACCCGCACAATTTAACAGGTTGAATTAAAGAAATTGATCTATTTTTAAAAACAGGCCGGGTTAGCCCAACCTGCAAAACCGCGAGCTAAAACGGGCTAGCTCGCGGGCTACCATATTTTTTTAAAAATAATCTTTTATTTTTTAATTACATTATATTTTTTTATAAATCTATAATAATAATAATATTTCTTAAATATATAATTTATGACTTTCAAATATGTTCTTTACATTTGAAATATAGTGTAAATCTTTTTTACAATTTGTAAATAAAATTTTTGTTATAGTTTATGAAGATGATTTATTAGTTTTTATAGAAATGTTTTGAATATATATTATTTATTAATCTCATAAGATCTATTAATTAAAATTATAAATATGAATTTACTAAGAAAAATAATATGGGTTTATATTTAAATTTTTTTTCTTAGTGACAAAAATAGCACACCTAAGTGAGAAGATGATTAATAGTAAAAATCTAACAAAATAAATTTGCTTGGTTGAATTCTATATTTATTTTATTTATTTGCAATTTTTTTAATTGCTAATTTACTTTAAAATATAACATAAATATATATATTTATATTGTATAAATTTTAAATTATTAAAAAAATTTGATAATTTTTTACGGGCCAGCCCATGGGTTAAGTAGCCCGCTAAAAAATGAGTTGGGTTGAATTTTTTAACCCATTTTTATCTAGCGGGCTAGCTCAACCCAACCCGCAAAACTTCTAGCCCATGCGGGCTAGCTCGCGAGCTGACCTGCAACCCGTTTGCCTAGTACTACCCACCCCCCTTCCAAGAAAGAAAGAAGAAAATTAAGAAAAAAACTCTATGATAATAATACTAAACTTGCAAAAAAGACAAATATTTTAGTCCTCTCCTATAATTTTTTGAGTCTTTATCTATAATTTGTGAATCACTTATTGTAATCTTCTATTTTTTTTATATCTTTTTTTATTGTTAAAATTTACTTTTATTAATGATAAGAGTTAAATTGAATAAAAATTTATAATAAATGATATATGAAGCCTTGAAATATTTAGTCAGCAACCTGTGAGAAAGAAGATAATGGAAAGAGAGAACGGAAAGGGAGGCCGTTTGCGTTTTTGGAACACCTATGCTTTATGGCTGATTCTGCCACCTCCCTTCTCTCTCTCTCTCTCTCTTTCGAAGAAAATCAAATCGTGCCAAAATTAACAAAAGCAGATCCTAATATTTATAATTCATGAATTTTTTAGCTTTTCACAATTAAATATTTTGATTTTTTTATTAGATAATATTATATAGTTAAAATTGAATTTTTTATTATATATATATCTTTTGAATATTTTAAATTTTATCATTTAATTCTAACTTTTTAAATATCAAGATTTTTTACTTATTAATTGTAATTTTAAGTTTAATATTTTTTTACTTATTAATTAGTAACAAAAATATATATAAGAAAATTTATATTTATTTTTATCATTAAACATTTCAACTTACTTCCAATTGAAATCATCCAAACAAGTTTTAATTTATCTAATTAACTTCTAAAAAAAACACCTAAACATAAATCATGTTACATTTATTGATATTTTCTTTAATCTCAATTATAAATTTTTTAAGCCAAACAGACACTAAAACATTAACAACAACTGCATCAACAATAATTTCATTAATAACAAAATAAATTTGAAGATAACAATTTTTTATTACTTTTGATTAAAGGATCAATTTACGTTAAAAAGATTAAAAAAAATTACAGTCTAAAGCTCCCAGAAATAAACCAAGAGGGCAAAGCAATGAAAAGGGGAAGTGTTAGACTGTTAGTAATAGTAAAAGAGACATAAGAATTGTATCTTAAAAAGAGACATGAGCAAACGGAGATAAAAAATTGAGTGTTTAAATATCAAAGGATCCTAAATATCTAAACTATCATTACACACCTGAGACATATATGAAAATAAAATTTTAAAAGAAAAGACCTAATTATTCCTGTAGTATTTTAGAAACCTTGTTCGAATATAAACAACAAAGTATTTGGTTGTTTGGTTATAGACACTATAGGGATAATAAGGTATTTTCTTCCAAAATCCTTTTTCATATAGTTCCAAGAGAGTACAGTGATATTTCAAATTTCTAGAATCATTCTTTGTTATAAAAATGTTATGGGGTCCTTAAATGATATTTTTCCTTTGAGGGAAAAAAAAAATCTTTTATAAACATTGAACACGTAGACAACGACCTTCTGTGTGCTCCCAAGATTCACATTCCTTGATCTAGTTCAAAATCCAAATAAGAGCAAGACGAAGGGTCACAACCAGAAATGCGCCAGAACATATGAAAAACCTGCACAAGCAGACCATAGATTGAAAATTTTCGTTATTGTGATGAATAAAACAGACACTGAAAGTACCATTCCATCTCTCAACATTTTTCCACTGTAATTTGCCATACATGCTCATAAACATTTGGCAAGCTTAACCTCTGAATTTGAACATCATGAGCTGCATTCCTGGTTGATACTGACCAATCACAAATAATTCAAATGCAGAAGTGCAAGTGATTGGAACTCCTTAATTACTTTATCTCCCATTGCAGATGTAATTTAATCATTATGCTATGAATAAGCAAGTAATTTCCATGCTTATAAGCTTCCAAAAAAGTTACATCCCCAGCTCCTAAAACCAACTCTTGCAATCAAATCAGATTTGTATAGATGGGGCTCCAAATCAAATTGCCCAAGAATAGGGACATGAACGGAAAAGGTGCTTAAAACTTTCCTCTTCATTACAACCAAAAACACAAAGAGATTGAATATTCAAATGATGGTTCTTGAGTATATATATAACCAATAAGAATGACAGAGTGGAGTAACTTCCAAATAAACAACTGTTTACAAGGCAACTGAATTTTCCTTATGAATTTCCAAAAATAAGATATTTGATCTAGACGAGACAAATTTATTTTTTCTTTTTTTGATAATAAAAAGTTTAGATGAATTAGTTCTAGAAACTCACCAAGACAAGATCATGCCTCTAAGTTCAAAGAACACTTGCAAAAATACTTTTAAATCACCCACTAACAAAATCCTTATATTAGCAACTACATTTTTGAACCTATGACCTTATTAGTTACGCATCAAATATTTGCCAATTAGACTAACTTTTATTAATAGAAGAAACAAATTTCTGTCAAACCAAAACCTTTTTCATTAAGCCTATTATACTTAATTATTTACAAATAAACATAAGCAATCGTAAGATCCCTTTGAAATTGAACCAAACATGCCCTAAGATACAAAATGGAAATGAGATAGCTCTTTTTTTTTTAGTGAGGATAAGAAATGTATTCCTCCGTCAATAGAGTTTAGTAATGATAACAAAAGGTAAATCTCTCCTAACTAAATTACTC